AGAGCTTACTATGCATTATTCAATCCCAGTTAACTTACTCCATTTATATTTAGCTCTCTCTTTCATGTCAGTTCTGCTTTGTAGTGAGAGCTGACACGCTGATGCAAAGTGTGTATCCAAAGAGTCCACAGAGACGAGCCTTACTCAAGTGGGATGAAGTAACCTGAGGTGAACAAAGTGTCTGCATACTTTACCAAACTAAATAAGTCAAGATGAATACTCTTCAAAAACATATTCCAAAAAGTAAAATCTGTGCGGACAGTGCACACCCAGAATACCACCTGGAAGAGTGCTGATGTATCGCACTGATGGAGCCAAGGCATGCCCAGAAACGATCCAGCTGACGTCACACCTGATCTGCGAACCAAAACACTCATTTAACCCACATCTAAAAGGTCTAAAATCCCTGAGGTCGGCACAGTCCACAGCAGAACACACTCTTGTACTGATAATGGTTTTATATTTATTTTCTATTGTTGTTGGTGTTTTACACCATACTTTTATTTTATGCTCTTATAAATACTCAAAGTTTTTGTTGAATTGAACTGAATAAAAGCTAACACTCACTACAGTTACATCCAAAGTTATGCCGAGCTGTTGTTGTGGCTCATCTAGGCAAATTTCACTGGGTAACTGTCCTTGTTGTCCCTCCCATAGGCGACTTTACAGTTCTTTATCTTTAATATGCACGCTAGAGACACCTTACTTGCCAAGTTTTGTTCACCACCCCACTTCCTTTTACACATTTATGCTGTTCGACTCTCAGGTGAAAAATCTGCTGTGTAAACTTTGGGACAAATTTTTACTGCCTAGTCCACTTTAAGGCCAACTAAAAGGAAAAGTTGGTCCCAAATTACTTGTGTTAGTCCAGGCTTTGCAATATTTGACTCTTAGACTTTTAAAATGTTTTAAAAGTCTAGTTTCACACAACGAATCAGTTGTTAACGTCACAGAAATAAACTAGTTTACAGCTATGGGACGTTGACAGACTTGTGTTTGAGTTTGTTCGGCTCTCTGTTTCTGTTTCTTCAGGTTCATTTATTTAAAATATTGTCAAGAAGACACTCATTGTGACCTCTTAAAGTGGAGTGTTTTCTAAGTTTCTGTTGTTTTACACCGTTTTATTTCATATGACACTAATGAGAGCATTTTGAGTATTAAATGGAATATCACTTCTACTCTTGGATGCCCACCCTATGGCATAACACAACGTTTTTTGATAAATTAAAGACGTTCGAACCAAATAGTTAGCTTGAATGATGTCAAACATTTTCACCTCTGTCTGGCACTTTAAGAACTAAACTATTTCACATGTAAAGCACAAGTGATGTGACATTTTACTCACGTACTTACCGTGTATGCATGTGTTTATTTATAAACCATCACCTCCTGTGATATGACCTGCTTTTCTATTGCCATGCATACATCTTCACATCCTCGCTCTATATCCTCAGGCGCTATCACATGACAAGATCATATTTTCAGGTATGCCAGACATTTTCAGCATGTAAATTATCCTAATAGATGTTATTTATCACCGAGACATATGCTCATGCCCTGCAGTGAATCTGTTAGAAAGTTGCAACACTTCTGTCTGGTCTGTGTTTGTGTCCGTCTTGATGCATGTAGCCTCTTTCTCTCCCCCGACACCCTCCCCTCTGTTTTTTTCCCTTCGGCACACAAAAACACACACTATGCAGCCTGCAGGTTTTGACCTGTAAATAACTGCCCAGACAGGGTCTAGTCAGTCAGATGTGTAGGCAGAACGAGGCGTCAGTGCCTACATGGCTCCTGCAGAGCAATAACAGATGCTTATCATGTTTTACTGAGGGTGGTGATGGTGGAGTGGGAGGGTGAATGCGGGGCCCTGTGGATGAATGGCTCTGACAATAAATGCCCTCAATCATGGGTTCCTACCTTAGAAAAGAGACGCACAGATATGCCAGTGGAGTTACAATGAAGCCAGGGTGTGTGTGAGTGTGAGTGTGTGTGTGTGAGCAGAGAGCGCATGTGCACTCCTCACACCCACTGCAGCTTTTCAGCAGCTCATCCTCTCGCACATTCCAAGTGAAGGCAACAGCAAACAAATGGCTTAAGGTTCAAGTGAAGTATGTTTCATTCCTTTCTCCGCTGTCTCTGCTGCTCTTAAAGTTTCGGCCTGCGCCGCTAGCGGGGACAGGGGTTAGTCGCAAGGTCAAAGAGGAGAGGATTACTCAAGATACACTTCAGATAAAAGTGTCAGTCCGATAATCGACCGTGATCCATCATGCGGTCCAGACTGCGCTTTTAGGCCCATGCTGCCAACGGAGGGTAAAAAATAGCCTCCATGTGTGTGTGCAATAATGAAGATGAAACTATGAAGAGGCAGAATCCCCATGACATCCACAATCCTGCTCGTTTGTAAAAGCTAAGAGACGATCCAAGGCTGCGCAGGTTATCACCATCCCTCTTGCTGTTTCTTGCTGAGACCAACATTTCTCTCCTTCCTCTGCAGTGAAGTCGAGCACATTCCCCTCTGAGACGAGACGTTACTTTCCCTGCTGTTTGCACAAATGCTTTCACAGCCACCGGTGAAGGTGGTAATTTGAAGTCCCGGGTCGCTGGCTCCCGCTCTGACAGAAAATTAATTCACATTTCAGGGATGGATATGTGTGGGATTTCACTAGGGGAGCAGGAGCGACACTTTCATTATCTGAATTTCAGATTACAGCATCATCCCGGGAACTAATAACACTGGTTCGAATTTTGGTGTCAATTCATACGTGGAACACGGTCGGCTCGAATAGAGGTCATTTCCAGCTCCAATAACCCACTTTAGAGACATATGGGACACACTTCTAACACACCAGATGTAGAGAAAGTCTAGGGCATATGTTTCACTATAAATAGCATTTCATTAACTATATAGCGACTGCAGAAAAGACTTAACACACTCAACTTTATTAACTAGGAAGTTTTTGTTTTTTAATATTATTTTACTAAGCAAACGCATCTGATTTTTAATGTTACATTTTAAAAAGCTGCAATAAATACTAGCTAACAATGATAAGCTAGCTTGGGCTAAATGTTGATCTGTGACTGAGGAGGACAATGGGACAGATTTTAAAGTAAGGTGATACCAGTAACATAAGTTAACATGCTAACATCAGCATTAATCTAGTAGGCTAGCATTACTGTTAGCTAGTAATATCATGGTCACAATGTTAAAGGGCTGCCAAGTTTCAGAAAATGACAAGAGTGAGCGTTCAGATATGTTTGGCCGCTGAAAAATTTAGCCTCCCTGCGCTGTGGCCTCCTAATGCTAGTCTGCTAATCTTAACCTACAGCCCGTCTTCAGGAGAGCGGGAGAACGTGGAGTTGGTTTTAAATGTTGCCGCTGTTGTGTGTGAAAGATAGTTAGAGGCGCCAAGACCTGTCTTACGTTGCTTCTGATTGGTTTACATTGCGTGGTGCCTTCTGTGGTTGGTTAGGACTGATGGCTTGGTCTGGGATTGGTTATCTCTGTCAGTAAATCAGAGTTACTCGAACTACAGCAAGTCAAGGTTATTATTATGAACAAAATAAATACAGAGTATAGAATGGGGAAATATAAGCGTAAGAAATGTCAAGTGTGGCATGTGGTGTGAGAATGGGTCAAACTTTGTGTCTGTCACACTAAAAGCGTGATGCTTGGCAGCTCTGATGTTAGCTTGGCATGGGTTGAATACTTAAGTTAGAGAAACAGCTAGCCTAACACAAGCATTTCACTAATTTCTAGCTAGCAGAAACGTTTAACAGATTTTCAACAACATTGCCCCGACCAAAAACCTTTTTTCGCCGCGGTAAGTTCAAGTGAACTTTTAGACAAAATATATATTCATACAAAAATGCTAACATTCTTGGATGGAGCACCACCATACGGATACCATGCACTCAGATAAAAAATTGTCGCTCTTTTATAGTATGGTGTGCTAAGTTTTTTGTTTTTGTATCTTAGTGATAAACTTATTGACTGATCAAAAAATAGTGGGCCTTGAAAAACCATTAAAAGTTTGGTAAAGTTTCGAAGAAGGAATCAAAACATCATGAAATAATTAACCACAAAATCATGCTAACATTAGCAGTAAACTAGTAGGCTAGCATTACTGTTAGCTAGCAATATCATGGTGTTAACATTAGCTTGGAATTGGTTGAATACTTAAGTAACAGAATCAGTTAACCTAACACGAGCATTTCACTCATTTCTAGCCCGACAAACCATAAAAACATTGCCCCGACAAAAACTTTTTTCGCCACAGTTTGCTCAAGTGAACTTTTTGACACCATTTAATATATATATATATATATATATATATATATTCATACAAAAATGCTAACATTCTTGGATGGTGCACCGCCATAAGGATACCATGTAGTCTGATAAAAAAATGTCGCTCTTTCATAGCATGGTGTGCTAAGTTTTTTGTTTTTACATCTTAGGGAAAAACATATTGACTGATAAGAAAATAGTTTGGTAAAGTTTCAGGGAATGAATTAGAACTCTAAGGAAAAAATAACCACAAAAATAGCTGCATTAATTAGGTGGTTTTAAAGAAGCTTTGCTGCAATTTGCTGAAAATAATTTATGAGTTTGGCCCCTGAACTTTGAGCCTCTAAACTATTCTAACTATCTGAGCTGCAAACACGAGGAGAAGGTGAGGTGAGGCGCTAGAGGGAAGGAAAGAGAGGGAAAAGAGAGGGAGGGAGGGAGAAAGGCAAAGTGTGCGTGTTTGTGTGTACAGAGCAGAGAGGGAGGGAGGGAGAGGGAGAGAGAGACAGAGAGAGGTAGTGCAGTTACGCAGAGTGATCCAGGAGTGAGTGGTGCGACAGAGCGGAGGTGACAGCGGAGAATGGAGAGGAGCCCGTCCGCCCGGCGAGCTTTGACCGCGGCGAACGAGGAGAACCCACTCGGTCTTTTCCCTCTGGAGCCAGCGTGCTGAAAGAAACCAGGAGGGAATTACCAAGGGGGGCAAAGGAAAGGAATGGCTGATCCTCTGCGGAGGACTTTACTAGCGAAACTCCGGGGAAAGAAATCCAAGAAAGGAGCGACGGTCGGCGGTGGATACGGCTCTGCTGCTGCGGCTGCTGCTGCTGCTTCTGCGGTGAATGGGGGCCGAGAAGGTAAAGAAAAAGTTTTGCAAACGCTGCGAGACTCCGACGAGGCTCGCCCGGTAGTGTTGCTCACAGGGCTGGATTGCACGACAGAGAGAATGAGTACGTACGAGAATTGTGTTGACGGGACGATGGTGCAGACAGGGGGGGTTGTGATAGTCCGGGAGAGTCGGCCAGAGTTGGAGCTGGCCGGCGCACGTCCCCAGGAGCGAAGCAGCGGGGGCAGGGTTCGGGTTAATGAGGAGCTCCTGGGGGTCTCACTTCAAAGAGACGATCAGTTCGGGGGACATGCGTTCAGGGAGGGACGTAGGAGCCACCACCACCAGGGGCCAAGATCCGGTGGTCAAATCGCGTTATCGACAGGGGTCCCGCATGTGCAGAGAAAACACTTCATCGCGGTGCAGAAACAGTGCAGCGTGGGGGATTCAATCGGGTTTGGGGACAACTCCAATCCAAGAGTAGAAACCAGGGTGGGTCAACCAGCAGAGGGACGGGTTGTTCCCACAGGGACAGAGCCAGGGGACAGAGGGCTCTCCCGGCACATGGCAGGCACAGTCATAGCGGTGAATGAACGCAACGCCAACTGGACTTATGACAACAATCAAACTCTGGAGACGAACACGCCGGTTTATGCGGCACTCATTCATCCAAACTGTGCGTCCAGGAACGCAGAAGAAAGCATCATTATCAGAGATGTGGAGAGCTATGAGCCTGCAGATACAGGGGACATTAGAGGACCTGCAGGTACTGTGCAGAGCCCCACTTTCTTTCCTACAGAGTTAGAAATCTGTGACATAAACATGGAGGAGACCTCTCTTAGATACACTTTAGATAGTGAGGATGATTATTATGATAATGAAATTCTACCTTTTTATGAGACTGTCAAAGCAAGAAGCGATAAGGCAGAGGTTACAGAGCTGCAGCAGCCTGGTCAGGATAAAGATGAGAGTAGCAGCGCCCAGGAGACGGACAGGCTGAGAAACCAGTTAAAAGAAGCGTATTACCTTCTTATCAATGCTATGAATGATATCAACATGGATGTACAGCAGATTAGCAGTGGTTTTACTGAGCAGCAGGCCACCTCCTCCTGCAGCAGCCACTCCAGGGATAGTCTGTGCTCTAGGTTGTCTGCCAAAAACATGGACAGTGACTCCTGGTCCTCAGGAGGAGATCACAGCCCCCAGCAGGTGTCTGACACTGACTCTCTGCTCCTGTGCCTCACTGGGAACTCTGAGTCAGGGCTTAAAGGCAGGTTGAACAGTAAGAGTTTGGTAAACCTGTCCTTTACTAAGGTTAGACCTAAATTAGCTCGCTCCACTAGTGACAGTGCGATCAGGTATCCAGGTGGACACTCGCCCTGTTTTCAGACTCCAGAAACTTGTGAGGAAAAAGAGGCCGTAGAGAGAACAGATGCAGAGAGGGAAAAAGTCACAGGAGCTGGTGAACTGTCAGAAACTCAAGGGCTTTACCATGCCATCAGCAGTGATGAGCTGCTACAAGATCCTGGAGGCGATGAAGACCGCGGCGGGCGGCTCAACGAGAGCAGCAGCTCGGTCAACAGCCTCACGGGTTCCTCAGACAGCAACCAAGGCCACGACGGCAAACAGGGAGCCCGATCACAAGGGGCCAACTCTGCCAACAAAGGGCCTGGTGTCACCGTCAACAAGATGCAGGAGTGGATGCATAAGGGGCAGTTGCTGTCCTCAGAGATGAAGCAGCGAATCGAAGGCTCGTCCTCACCCCGTGGAGGATCCCAAAGCCAGGATCGTGGAGTTAAATCTATCAAGGCCAAGTCACCTACGATCAAGTCAAGGCAACAGCAGCAGCAGCACCCAGGTAGGAAGGCTACACGGAGTCACCTCAGCTCCTGTGGATCCTCTTAAATCAAAGACCTCTCACCCTCCTTCCTCCGTCTGATTGTTGTCATCCTCCTCCACTCATAGTAAACTCCGTCTGGTGGCGGTCCACCCTGCACTCCTCCTCTTCTGGATGCAAAGCAAAGGGACGAGACTCCTCAGACCTCTTTGCTTTCCTTTTAACCGGTGGCGGGTTCTGTTCCTTCACACTAATTTAGGTTCATTTTAACACTAAATTAATCGCACATCAGGTTGTAGGTCGGATCACTCACAGTGTGGATCAGTAACAACTAACTCACTCTCTCTGATAGCTGCGGTGGTAGTCTTCATGGTGTTGGTGGCGGGTTTTGTGTGTGTGTGCCTTTGACTTTTGACTGTGTTCAAATGCCATATGATTTTCTAATTGATGATCTGTTGGTATAAATGTGCAAAACAGGAAAACATCTGTATCATGAAAAGTGTTCAAAAATGCAAGTTCAAGTAAAATCATAGAGATAGGTCTAAATTTTATACGACAGGTCGATCGGAGCTTTAAATCAAATCTTGTCGTTATCCTTTGTGTGTCCGTAGATGTATTTCATACGATTTCTCATCTATTTTTAACTCAGAGTCATTCTTTCTTGAATAGCGCTGCTGTGTTTTGCTAAATTATTGATTTGTGGATTGAAAAACAGAGACTGCAAACTTTTCTTGAATCTCGCTAAACCCTTGAAAAATTCCACAAGCAAAACTGTCAGATATTGATTAACGAAAGCCCCTTAAATATGAGAAAATACCAGTTTTCTCATTAGCGGATAAGAGGCTATTAGTCTTGAACTTTTAGGTTGACAAAGAAAAGTTATGATGAGATTTGTTAGCTCTCTTTTTTTTAACAATTTATAAGTCACACTAGGAATGTATAGAAAACAACAGAAAACAGTAAAAGTGAGCACTATTTAAATTGTGTCAATTTAGTTTGCAGAGTGTGGCTAACATTGGCAGAGCTAGCACTCCCAGCCACAGGTCAGCCTTACAGTTTATTACCCTTGTTGGTGTTAAACACAATGCAAGACCCACACTTCAGGCCTGTGGTAATGAACTAACAGCCAAAGTAGCAATCATTTGATCCACTGACTAGTAGTCCACCATGAGCTAAATTTAAACCATGTGTAGATGAGTTTAGGCCGGTGTCGTCAGCATACATGTGTTATTTTAAGCACAAAGTGGATAATGTTTCCCCCTCTGATGAGTAGATAGCTCTATTAATGAAACATGGCAGTTCATGAAAGAGACCATTGTGATTGCAAGGTTGCATAAAACTGTTAAATGGAGGTAATACTGCTTGTGCCCATAGGTGGCACTGTTACTATGACAAAACGTATATGTAGGACCACTAACAAACCTGTGAATATTGGAGTTGTTGGGATATTGTGCTCAAGAGTTGATGCGATTCCATAGGGTGGCGCTATGGCTGTAATTGAGAAGTTATCAAATGGATGTAATCAAGGGTGGACCTTGATCATGTGTATGAAGTTTTAAAGAGACTGAATGTTGTATGAACAAGGGACAGCTACTTCCTGTTTCATGGCAAGACCTTGTCGTTACTGTTATGGCTGCACCCTTTGATGCACAGATGAGACTTTGATTACTTTTTATCTATAATCTGTCGACAATCAACTGTGAGCAATACTTGATAGATGGAAACCCCTAGGAGGAGTTTGTTTTCATATGGTCAGTTCAGTAGACTAAGGGTTTGCTGTTGAGTAAGATACTTGGGGCCTAAATACGATCACTAGGTAGAATGAATGAATGAATAAATGAATGAATTGTTCCAAATGGCTTTTTGCATTGTGTACTTTGGCCCTATTAAGATCCACTAACCCTCCTGTGGTACACACAGTCAGTTGGATGAACATCAGCCGTTTCACCATTAAGGTCAATAAGGTTCCTGCTCACTGTGTAGTCCATGGATTTCTTCATCAAGTGACTCTAAAACAGGTCAGCTAGCCTGTTCAGTAACTGGAAACTGTCAATGTGGGAAACTTTATACTGACATATTTAGCACTGGCTCTCATGTCTTCAACCAGTGGCTTTTTAAGTCTCTCACACGTATGTATATGCTTGCGTGCCAGCGTGCGTGATGTTCTGACAGTGTTTTCCAGTGTAAACAGATGACCTGCCATGTGCACAGGCTGTTGTTGACTGTCACTGTGTTGTGCTGCTTGAAATAGAGAGTGAGCTGCTGAGAGGAAGGCCCTCTGTGTTTGACTTCCAACCTCTTTTGGCTCTTAAAGCTCTAGTTTTTGCATCTCCAGCTCTTTCCTCTTGTTAAAACGAGAACAGGACTCTTCTTCATATAAATTTCCAATTTCTTTACCTCCTCGATTCCTCATTTTTTCCCTATTTCGCTCCACTTTCCCCTCTCTGTCCCCACTGAACTTTTCCACAGCTGTGGCCAGAGGAATCCAAAGCAGGGGAGAAGCCACTGCAGTCTCTCTCTGTGGTTGTGTGTGTGTGTAAGTGTGTGTTTCAGAGTGTGTGTTTAAGGGGGGGTTGGGCTGTCATGTTGCCTTCCTCCCCAGTCGTTTGCTCTGGACAGCTCCATGGTAACTTGCATTTTAAAGTGACTCCGGATTGAATATTTAGGATGCCATTCCTGTTGTTTAACTTGTTTGCGTTGTGTCACTTAATTCCTCGCCATGAATGAACAAAATGAAGGGCGATTAAGTATTTATTAAGGTCAGCCCTGGGCTTATCTTGCCCCTGTGGGCCTCTCAGGGCCTCACAAAGAGCCATTTAAAAAAAGAAATGCCAAAGCTCTCAAAAGCTTCGGTGAATTGCTTGTCTTGGCTGGAAACTCTTCATTGAGTTTATAGCTCTCTGTCTTAATTCATGCAAATATTTAGACGTTTCAACTTTCTAAAAATAGACCCTCTGATTCCTCCCCTGAGTGTGAGTCGGAAATCAAACCTCAGTATGAAGTCACAGAGCGAATAGTTAGCTTAATCAGACCGAAGCTAATTTACGCCTGCTGAGACTTGTGATTTAATTACTGTGTTAAAAAAAAGTAAGACGTCCATCATCTCCCACAGCTGATAGCGTCACTCTGTACTTGTACATATGTGGGTGGTGAACATGCACATCTCTGCCGTGGTCATGCATGCTTGTATTTGCAGGTGGAGGATTTATAGTTTTGTTGTGTTGTTGCAGCAGCAGAGTCTTGGGTTGCAGGCAGGCAGAGTACATGTATCATGTTTTGGCCACAGCTGAGCTCAGGAGTGGTGTGTCAGTCAAAGCTGGTGTTGAGAGTAAGCCAGAGACACCTGAAAATGAGGGAGTTTGGAATCCACACCTGGGAGGCAGATTTTTTTTTCTCTTGTTATATTTCTTTTTTGTGCAGCTCAGACTGTGAAATATAATCTGTTGGATGTAAGTACCAACCGCTTTGGAAAGAGTAGTGTTCGCTTAGAAAAGTGACACTTTTCTATGTTATCTTTGTCAAAGTGGAAAAAGTTGTTTAGCAGGAACAAGGTTGACTTTTTCAACCAAGTGCTATCGTGAAATATTACAATGTCAATGTCTTGGTTGAATGTGAAGCCACTCAGCAGCTGGAAAAACTGGCTTAACTACACCCAAAGTTCAAATATGATCTATAAGTTAATGAAGATTTGGTATAAGTTAAGTTTTCATCTTAGGAAGAGGCATCATGGTGAGTAGTAGATATGCTCCATCCATCATTTGGTTATTATTGAACCTCCTTCTGGTTGGTCTATCATGTCACTCAACAAACAAGCTAGCAAAAGCCTAACTTAATATAAGACCACGGACGAAAACATGGACAACTTTACGGCTCCCTATGTTTTGTATTTTTGTCTTTTTTAACTTGCAATTTGACTGCTGGTTGAACGCTCAGGCTGCATGCACTAAATACTTAAGCTGGTTTGGGGCAGATTAAGACGTTTACATGCAAGAAAATACAGATATCCAACACCATAATCCAGATATGTAACTCCAATTTAAAGATATTTAAACAAGTTAGATTTTATTCAAAAGTCCAGTGTTCATTAGACAGATGCAATACATTAAATCTCCAACATCGCAGTAAAGCCTTGTAGTTCAGGGTAGAAAGGGATATTTCAATACAGACTTGAATGGGGTCTGTTTGACTTTCGGAACCTGCCTCAAGTGGACACTTGAGGAACTGCAGATTTTTTTTCACTGCATATTTACAGTTTATTTTTTTTTTACTGCTGGTGTTTTATATGAGGAGACAGCTTCTTTTGCTCTACAGTTTTCCATCTTCACACTTTGTTGTTCATACCAGGAGGTTATATGAGATGTATGAGTCACATGTCACACTTTGTTGTTTGTATAAATACAGATTTGTTTAAATCTTCTATTAACCCAGTTGAGCTGTATCCCTTTATTTGTATTTATTGTGCTAAACTGAACGCCTTCGTATATATCATTAAAATAAAAGAGGCAAAAGGTCTTTCCAACTTAATCTTGACACGCAAGTACACTCAAAGTTTAACTACCTTTTTGAGAGTATTTGCCAAGTCTGATGCACATAAGTCATTTTGTACAGTACTGCTTATCATTAACATACAGATCTCATTAATTCCTGCTTGCTCAGTAGATTCAGGGTGCAGGTGTAATATAACTCTCCCCGACTGCTGTCAAGTCATGTCAGAACGATGTGGCGTTCGGTTTCTGCCAGAAACCTTGTTACTGAGCTGCAGCGCTGTTGTTTTCTTCACACGGAGACACGCAGCGCTGATGGTAAAGGTCCAATAACTTGTCTTGTTGGTGTGTCTGTTCTTGGACAGATTTATGGAGGATGGTAGCCCTAAAGACAGATCAGGTGATGAAGGAGAAACTTGTGGCATGAGGGGTTCATACCAGGAGGTTTTATGAGATGTGTGAGTCACATGGCGTTGTCTCAAACTTGTTTGGTAATTTGAAATGATTGATTATCAGTAGAAGCGCCTCTGTTGTGCTTATTAGTTGGCAGCATTTTACCAAAGGCTGCTCGTCAGGGTTGTTAGTTGTCTTCATTTAAACTGTAATTTTGGCCAAATTGGGTCAAACTGTGAGACTACGAGACCGTTTTGAGCGTGCATAGTCCTCCCTCTTTTACATTTTATCAGTGTTTTGTACAGACACATTGAGACAAGACAGAAGATTCACTGAAAGAGCTGCAACACTGAAAAGAATTTGGGTCTGAGGCCAACACACTGAGGAGGAAGTTGTATTAGCGTTAGCAGACTTTGCTGCCAGGACGCCTCAGCGGGATGCAAGTGTTGACATGTGATGCAACCCTGGACGATCCCAGCTCTGCCCTGGTGTAAAGAGAAAAATCTACACCAAGAATCCTCATTAGCATATGAATGGGTGTCAACAGGAATGTATGGCACACAGCTAAAGATTCCCTCTGAAGGCGGGGAGTCTTAAACTTTGTATACACAACAAAAGTGTTGTCTGTACGGAGGAGAGAACTAGCTGGTGTGTGTTTTTCACTCATCAAAAGAGGAGAAAAAGGAAATTCAGGAAATAAAGGAGAGCGTATGGGAAAGTGGATCGAGTTTTGTCTAAGAGGAGAAAAAGATTCAGCCATTCAGAAGATCAAGACATGAGTATAATTGGGTTTTCTGTCAGGCTAACGTGGCACAGGTTCACACCAGCTCATCCAGGAAATACGATTTTTAAAAAAAAGTTTGCATTCCTCTCTGCAGCTCAGACGAACCCACATCGCTCCTCCCTGTCCTCCTCTCTCTTTTCTCTTTATTTTCTCACACAGACGTGCACCCTCGTATTATGAGCTCCAGCCATCTGTTACCTCCAGGTCAGGGGTGTGACTTTAACGTGCCCCAAACACATCATCTTCATGCCACTGTGGCGCGCAGGGAGACAGGCGGTGAAGTAAAAACTGTCAGAATCCATTTTTGTGTGTGTGGTGTCAGCAGGTATCTGTGATCTACAGTCCCTGACACCAAAAATCGACTGAAGTGGAAAGTTGTGGCTCACATGAGAATTCTTGGAGAAGTCTTAAGTTATCGTAAATAAAACATTGAATGAATAATATGCTCTGCCTTGTCCCCAGAGGCCACCGTCACCTGAGGGGTGAGCAAGCGAGCACTTAAATAAAAAGTAGAAACGACTGTCATTGTACTGCAAAAGGTGTTATCCAAGTGTTGCGTTTACATTCCCACTTGTTAATAAGATAGGATTAATATCAGAGCACAAAATCTGTTTATTCATTCAAAGTAAGAGTAATAAACTATCGTACTCAAGACAAAGTAAATCAACAGTCCTACATAGTCCTGTTTGCCCATTTTATTCAAAAGACGACTTCAGATGAATAAATGATCTTTATTGTGTTGTTATTGTTATCTCTAGATTAACTTATCTCATTTTCCTTCCCTTATACTTAAGTGTTGACGTCTGTTGTGTTTGCTTAGGGCTGAAAATGTCTCAATATCCTGTATGTTTCACACTTAAGCCGTCATCCTTTCTCCTGTCAGTCAGGTCTTGAGGATGTGGTGTGTCTTGTTAAAGCTGTTCTTTTTTAATATGAGTCGTAACTTTGAGGTTATTTTTAAGAAGAGTCGACGTCCTCATCCATTTTTCACCAGGCTGAATCAGACAAAAAGCAGTTAAAGTGGAAAACGATGTAGTGAAGCGGGATGTTCACAGAGCTGGAAAGCCGCCATTTAACACAAATGGAAAAACGGTTAAAACCTTGTCGTCTAACTTAAACCGGCGTCCTCCTCTCGCCGCGTGTTTCTCCTCCTGTGTGACAGTGGAAGGAGACACAGCGAGGCCGTAAATCTGGAGCTGTGGTCTGGAATGCGGCTCGTGTCAGAACACGCTTCCTCTTCCAGTTATGAAAGACCCCTTAAAGGAGATGTGGCATGCCGGCAAACGTCTCACCTAGGTCTCGTGTTACCTGATTGAGCGTTGGCAGCAGAGTCTGCAGGTTTTTGGATCTGGATTCATTTTTTTGTTGCCAATTTGTTCGTTCCTGACACCCATAACACATTTGCTTTGTGGCAGTGGTTAATATTTGAATGCAAATCAACCAAAGAGTGTTTCTCTTAGAAATCATGTAGGGACCGGCATCGAGTCTTGACCGGTGAGGATTGTAGCCTCTGTAAGTGGGAAACCTGAAGCAGCTTCCTTTGAGGACATCTAGTCAGCACCAGAATTATTTTTAGGGTCAACCAATTACCGTATTTTTTGGACTATAGGGTGCTCTTAAAATCCTTAAATTTTCTCAAAAATTGACAGTGCGCCTTGTAATCCAGTGCGCCTTATGTATGATTACTTGTTGTGTTTACTGACTGATTTTATGTGGTACAATGCGCTCAAAAATCTGTCGAAATGTGTAGGCAACGAAGCCGCTCCGCTCATGGATATTCGGAGCATTACGGTACGCTGTGTCACTACCTGATCGGCCCCGTAACAGGACCCCTGAGCAGTCTACAAGACTGCCTGACTGTAATGTCTAAACTAGAAGTCCATTCATGTAAGACAGCCTGGGCCCGGAGTACGCCCCAGCAACAATAAACCAATCAATGCGCCAATGCTTAATGCGCCTTTCACTGACTGACTGTCTTGTTTAAAAAGAAGCCGGATGTTTTATTTTGTGTCTTTGCCCGACTTCCTTTCCAGCACGGGTTAATCTGTGCTGAATTTATCTGGCATGCTCCAGCGTCCGGAACTCTTGCGATCAGCTGCGGAACGGAAAGAAGCCAGTGGAAATTGACACATTAACTTGAATTGTTACGATCAGCTACGACAGGCGTATACAGCCTTTTCGTAGCCGTTCCGGATGTGGTGGAAATTGGAGGTAATTCGTTGTGCCTCATCGCCCGAAAAATACATTACTTATTTTACATTATTGTAGGTCCAAAATGTCGAGTCAAAGCCGTAGCTCATTCACTCATCACTAGCTGGGGCTGTATCTCCTCTCAGTGGCTGTAATGCTTTAATGCTATACTACCTGGATGTAAACAGCACAGATGACAGGTGGTATCTTGTAGAGGGATCCGATATGGAGGGCTGTGTGTGTTGATCTAGACTTGAGATCATATTTCTTAACCAATCTAGTTGATCCGGCTGTAATGAGCTTTTCTGTTAGTTTGCAAAACTTTGACTTTGTTCCTAAGTAAAAATCTTCGATGGATTTCGGAGGGTTCAAAGGTCACCTTTGAGGCTCCAGCACCTGAAAACAAACCATAACAGATTACAACAGTTTGCCAGCTTTGGCTGACACATGAACTCATGAGACTTGATACGGTGCCAGAAACATGCTGTTTGTTTCAGCGAGTAGTTTCAACATGCGAATGCAAACACAGCTCTCAGACACGCTGAAGATTTTCAAGGAAGAAAATCGTCTGAAATCTGAACCAGCAGAAAACAAGAAACACTTAAAGATGTGCTTGACATCCAGGCTGAGTGGCGGTCCGAGTGAGAAACAGATGAGGCTGCGTTTGTGCCGTTCAAGCTGCTTGTTATTTTGGAGATTAGGAGTGCCTTAAAAGTGGCCTCTGTTCTGGCCACTGAGAGCTGTTTTATATCCTCAGCGGTGTCTTATATAATCAGCTGGAGCACAGAGGAATGGCACGTCGTCCAACAGAAGCAATTTCATCCCACTTTAAATCATTCCTGTCATATTTCCCAAGCGGGGGAAAAGTCAAGCAGTGAGTGAAGAAGTAAAGTTTAAAAGTTGTTTTGTTGTGGCGAAGAGAAGAAAGTGAAGAGTTTGAGGTTTTTACAGATGGCAGCAGTTAAAGGAAGTCAACAGTTGCTGTATAAAGTCGACTTGTAGATCAAGACGGGACTTCATATGGAGGCTGTTTGGAGGGGCTGGTCCACTTCCAGGGAAAGTAAATCCCGGTGGAGCCCTGTGCTCACTCTGTGCCGCGTTCAGGGCTTTTTCAATAAAAGCAACCAAGCAAAGAAAATACCTTTGTCTCAATCGACTGAGTAGAAGTTATGTAATTTGAAACCATGTGATTTTTAACATACTTCAGCCTTCCTCTCTTGGACTCGTCTGGATTAATAATAACGCAGAAAGAAAAAAAAAGTCTGTTTGTTTTATTCTGACTCATTCACACTCCTTTTTTTTTAATAGCCTCACTCTGGATGTTTGATTTCGTTAAGTGAAAATATTCCGCAGGTCTATAATTTGCTCATGCAGCCTGGCGTGCACGAAAATGCATTTCCTCAAGGAAAGGAGAAGTTGTCATTAAAGCATGTGGAGGGGCTCGTCTGCGAGCTGCTCACGATCAAAACAGTCTTTTACACGAGCCTGCTCTGCGTGTCGGAGCAGGACCCTGCCTTCAGCACCTCACACACACATCAACACACACTCGCACATGCTCAGAGGTTGTTTTTCTCCGGCTGTATCTGCTCATCTTATGGAAATAAAAACAAGTCAAATCACTCTTTCATTATCGTAAAGCTAATTCCACTGATTCTTTAGAGCTGAGCAGAAACTTTTAAACAGCTTCTTTTAGGCGTTAAAGGGCCATACCACCATTTTTACTTTTTCCATCCACATATATTTTGCCACTGTTTGCACTTATTGTCACCCCTGCACACACCCTCCTTTCTCTGCTCTATTTTCACAGCTGTAAACGCCAGCAGTTTCTCACTCCTGTTTTTTTTTCACTGTGGTTGAAGAAATGTGCGCTCAATCCCTCCATCTCCCTGTGATCTTCTTTGAATCCAAAGCCCACATATTCTCGAGGCGTCACTGAGGAGAAAAGAGGGGGGGAGGGGAGGTGCCTCGGGAGGATTGTGGTAGTGAGATCGAAAGTTTGACACCGGTCGTAAAAACAGAATCGCAATAACGCGTCTGAAAGTTATGAATCAATTCAGAAAAGAAAGAGAGGAAGAGGTGTTTCTCTTTTGTTTTGGTGACGGTGAAAAGCAGAGTAGAGGAGAAGAAAGAGGGGATGTGAGCGGAAAAAGGTGATAAAACCTTTTTCACACCTGTGTTTTCTTGATACAGATGTTTTCCTCGACTTGGCAGGACATGAAAACTCCGAGATTAAAGTGACTTCAGTCAATAATTGCTAAAATTAAGATCAAAGTCATAATTAGTGGCTTTTTATTCCAACCAAATGATTTTTTTTTTACTGTCTCCTGGCATCGAGTAATAACTCCCACACGCTCTCTCTGTCCTTCTGTCGCTCACTCAGCTTTCATTGAGACTCTCCAGACCCCCTGCGTCAACGGCAGGGAGGCGGGCCGGGCCTGTGAGTCTCCATCGTTATGGCGGCCGCCCCTCACCACCATCACCGTCTCCAAAAAGCGCAACTGGCTGCAGCAGAGCTCCCTCGGGAAGAGTCACTGCTCCAAGGATGAGCAGCAGGGAATGCTGGGAGCTGAGGAGGAGGGCGGCCAGAACTCCCATCATTCGCCACCTCCTCCCAGTCCTTCTCCAGACCATCTGAGACCCTCAGGGGGGACCACAGCACGGCCGGTCCGACTGCAGCTGCCTCAGGTACGCCTCGATGTCTATCTTGTTTTTTATCCAGAAAACATAAAAACTTAACTCTGTTTTCACCTTTGGGAAAAGAAAATAGCAGTGATTCATCTTCTGAAAGCCGCAGAATATGTCCAGGGATTACACCAAGATCTGAGTATCTCTTGATCTGAAATTTTGCCAAGGTTTAATGGAAGATAAGCTAGTCTAGTGCTGTTTTGGGCGTCCCACAACTTGGCAAACTACCTACAGCTGCAGTCTGGAAGAACCCACAGTACATTAAAGCTATCCAAGGAAGAATATCAGTTAATTAATTCATTAAATCTGTAATGTACAAAAACTGCCCATCAGTTGCGTTTTGGAGGCATTAATCTGTCCTACAATTAAATACTCATTAGGAACCTTTACAGTGAAGCTGCAGAAATTGATGTTTCCCATTCACTTGGATGTTGAACTTTCAAGAAAGAATAAAAAATGATGGTGGGGTAGGCAGGATCAAAGGAAGTGCCAGTTTTTAGGAGAAATCTTGAATGTAAACTCTACCCCTCCCCACCAGTCTTGCCCTCAGCTCCTCCTCACTCCTCCCTCTCTGCTCCAGCAAGCCCCGCCCACAAACAGACGCTCCTGCTGGCTCGTATCATTCAGATTAAATTCAGATATAATGCAGATAAATACTTCAGGTAATTACAAATGGAGCCCAGTCAATGTGAAAGTAAAAAGCATTGGTGCTACTGTAGATGCCAACAGACTACCAGCAAACACAATGTTTGCAGGACTTCTAAAACTAGGATAAAGTGACATAGTCCAGGACCCGAGGTCAACAGTTTAGCGGCGCTACAACACGCTACAGCAGGTCCGTTTGACAGGAAACACTTCTGTTACAGACACTTGTCTTACTTTGTTAAAGCGGTTGACCTGTCCAGCAGAAATGTTACAGGGTCCGCAAGATCCCAAAGCGTCCTCCATCATCATTGACCCGGCTTTTTAGCTCTTGTCCGGTGGTCTACCTCCTTTTTAAGCATGCGTTATTCCGCCAGAGTCTCTGGTATTTAGTTCATTTTCTTGTTTGTGTTGGCAGTCGCGGCTAAAGGAGGATTCAGAAAATTTTCCGTACTTTCAGGTTGGTTCCTACTGTCTGATATTGTAGCACGCTAACTTTGTTTGGGCTCCTGAACGACACAGGGGAGCAGCGTCTGCCTCACAACCAATCAGGACGGCTTTGTTTACAGTCAGAAAGAGCGGAGTGCTCTGAAATTTTAAAATGTTGACTACACAGACATAACAAAACACAGCGATATCGTTATATTACCAAATGTCATCAATGACGAATAGCTATTGACTGATATTAAAAGCTGTTTTGTATATACACCACAAAAAAGATGCTTCTTTAACAGATTCCTGCCTCCCCCACCTTTAAAGCTAAACACACACTTTGTCCTCTGTCTTGTTTTAGGCCGGTGTGGGTCAGGCTAAGGTATCCCCTCACCCTCGGAGTGTGGACCCAGCCGAGGAGAATGACGCTGACGACGAAGGGGAGATCTGGTACAACCCCATCCCTGAGGATGACGAGGTGGAGATGTCTCACCGACCATCCATTCAGCTGCTGGTTCCCTCTCGAACGGAGCTCCAGAGGAGGCCGAGCAGGGGGGCCGACGTGGGTCACGGCAGCAGGAACCTGGGGGTCAACGGCGGCTCGGTGCTAGAGGTACACGGAGAGAGCTTGTGTGGTGGAGGAGGAGCAGGAGACGGGAGTCAGGGGAATGCTGCACATTCCACAGAGGCACCACATCTGCACAGACAGATGCTCGCGTGCAAGCCCCCGGAGGAGGGTGGGCCTTCCACCAGCAGAGCTACAGGTAAGGCATTTAAAGACACCCACGCACCCCTTCACGCTCTCTTTTTTACTCCTCTTTCTGCTTTTTTTTCACTTCCTCATTCACCCCCTCACTTTTCATTGGGCCTGATCCTGGAGGCCGTTTAGTGTCTGTCGTTCATCTCTCAGCCAGTCCCTCTCAGCAGATTTTTGTGGTTGTTAACACCTTGAGCGCTAATTACAGCTGTTGTTAAAATTGTTCCCAATTTAGAGGATCAAGAGGCCTATTTGGCTGAAAGTAATCCCTGGCTGACTGTGGCTCTGCCTGGAGTGTGAAACTTTAAAACTGTCTTTGTCTGATTTTCAACACACCTAACATTTACATGATAATTGCACTTTGTTAAATGTGAAGTAGGTCAAAGTATCTGCCAAAACACAACAACAGAAAGATGTAAAAAGTAGAATATTTCAATCAAAAAGTTACAAAGTGAGAAGTAAAACAAAAGAGATTTGAAAGTACCACAAAACACATAAAGGAGAATTAAATAATATATAAATAATAAACAATAAAAAATCATGATTGGGATGGGACAAAATAAGTATTGATACACAAAGGTGAAAAAATGATAATTTAATTGAAATATGCGTCATTCTGATTAGATATAGGACAAAAAAAAGACATAAAATCCACACACCAGGAGGCTCCTGTAAAGGGTTTTTGACAAAAGTGATATTTCCAGCCATCATGCAGCATCTTAATAGTATTATTATTATTATTATTTTGTTATCATGAGCCAAATATCAAATGTTGCATTGTGTTGTATCGTATCGTATCATTTCGTAACATCACATAAGGTGTTGCAACATATCGTATCATATGATATTACCATTATCATGGGCCAAATATCAAATGTCGTATTGTACCGTATCGTATTATATCGTGTCGCACTGTATCGTATTGTATTGTATCGTGTTGTATCAGATTCTATCATATTGTACCGTATTGTGTTGTGTTGTATTGTGTCGTATCGTATTATATCATATCATCACATAAGGTATTGCAACATATCGTATCAGATGATATTATCATTATCATGGGCCAAATATCAAATGTTGAATTGTATCGTATCGTATCAAATCGTTTGAACTGTAACATCACCTAAAATATTACAACATATCTAATTGCATGGTTTTGTATCGTAGTGTGTTATCTACTGTCCTATCCAATTATTTCCCATCATATTGTGAATCAACTCCCTCCCCTTATTACGGTACATTTGTTGCTCAGTCAGCTGAGACGATAACACTGTCATTTTAGTGACCTACACATACCAAGCTTTTTTTGTTACCCTGGGAGTATCATGTCTTTGCCTCTAAGAATGAAAATTTTCAAGTTTTACCTGGTCAAGTTTGTGTGAAAATGTAGCATCTGAAATTTCAGTGTTTGCTGGTTCTGTTTGATTGGAGCAGACAGGAGCTGTTGCTCTCCAATCAGATGTCTCCATGTCTCCATGTTAGCATTAGTTAAACTCACACAGACATCAACCAGGAGGAATTCAGAAACGTCATTCCTCAGAGATATCCTTTAACTTGTAACTGCAGCTCACATTCACAGAGTGAACTTGGTTTATCAAAGTTTTTCACTCCAGTGAATTTCTTCATGCCTTTAAACTGGCATGTCTATCCATTAAAAATGCTCTTCCATCATGTGCAGACTCAGAAATGCAGAGTGACTTAAATCGCTCTCCCTCGTGCCCTTTTTTTTATTCACTTTTGTGCCTGGAAATCGTCTCCAGCGACATTGTAATGATGACAGCCAGCACACAGCTCCCTGTCTCTCAATAAGCTCGCTCTTCTCTTTTTTTTTTCCAGCTTCCGACTTTTTGTTCTCTCTGATGTGGCAACATGGTCGTTTCAACCAATTGGCACATCTCGAGCTGAGCCTATAATTACAACTTTTGACAACACTTTTTTCTGTGGCACGCAACAGCCATTTCTCGTTGCAGGAGCACAAAGCGAGGCCGGGCTGTTTGTGTATGCAGAGTGAAATCTAATACCGAAGCTTTAGTGTTCGCAGACACGGTTTTACTGCAGGAATGACGGCTTGAAAATGGTTTTCATCCTGGGATACTACAGTTGAAAAGTTGAAACCACAAGTCATTGAGACCTTCTCCAAGAAGGGAAAGAAGACTTATGAAACAGGGGAAGGGTAGGAAACTATCTCACAGACAGAAAAAAATACCACCCAGGACGAGGACACAGACTTGATTGGCTGCTGATAAACTCCTTGATCCTCATTTACTGGATACAGACTCCTCTCTCTCTCTCTCTCTCTCTCTCTCTCTCTCTCTCTCTCTCTCTCTCTCTCATAATATTGCGTGTGGCTCAGCGAAACTCTCTGTCCTGAGAGACTTTCCCTGTGGGATTAGGATTAAACCAGTCCCGATTGAGTCTCAGTGCACCGGTCCAGGAACGACTCTAATCATAGCGCACAAAGCTAATTAAGATGAGTCTATTCCTGCTTGCACCTTTTTGATGGATCTGCCCGCGAAGCTGCTGAAATTCGCCGGTGTCATGAGGGCCCTCCGCGCTGAGTTAGCAGATGAGAGGACATAATTGAAGGCTGGAGTTGCTTGTTCAGCTCTCGCGAACAAAAAAGCCTTTTTTTAAATTTCCCCTGCGCTCTCTCTCTTGCCCTTTTCAGAAGTGATTCATTTTTCCATCAACCTGCCTCCACTCAAAGAGCTCATTTACATCCTGTAATAAGACTCTGTTTAATGGGAGCACTTTGGAGCAGGTCTGTGATGGTGTGGTTTCTCTGGTTCTCTCACTGGTTGCAGTGAAAGTGAGAAGCAGGAGCAGAGGTGTGTTTTTTCCCCTTCTCTCTCCTCTCTCTCTCTCCGGAGCTGCAGCCTGTTGACTCTGCAGCTGATTCCTGCGGGTTTGGCGACACCGTCCTACACTCCACTGCAACAAAAAGAGAGAAACAAGCCAGGCTACGTGTCGTCAGAGAGCAAACACTCATTACTGGTTGTTTGTGCGAGTGTGCGTTGAGTGCAGGAGGCACCTCAGTTTAAAGTCAAGAGGAATGGTGTGAATGTAATGAGATGCTTCAACATCTTTCTGACTGTGGTTGCTGTTAAACTCTGCAGAGTGACACTGCACTCTCTTTTTACTCTCCCTGTGAGAGGGTTGGAGGATATTTGGCAGGAGAGGAAAGGACAGCAGCCCATCATGGTGCTCTCTTAGCTCTTCATTCTGAGGCCTCACATCACTATGGCAACTAGTACAAGGATGCTGAGGAGTTGGATTCATCGCATCCGTGGATAATGTATTGTGAGAAAGAGGCCAAAACGTGCAAACACCGACAACGATGCAGCCTCTGATGTAGGAGAAGTAGGTGAAAGGAAACAAAAAACAGATTTCAACTACAGCATCAAACTACAGCTAGGGCTGGGCGATATGGGAAAAAGATTATCACAATGAATTTTTTTCATATCAGTTGATATCGATATCAGGATATGAAATGTAACAGTGCTTATTGGTAGCATGTCTTTTGCAATACAATAAGCTACTGCAGCTGTAAGGTCTTTGTGTGTCTTTGATGTTTTGTGGTAAGAGACTGAATCGGACTGAATTGTCGGCTGTTTTGGCTGCACAGGCACCATGGGCTCCTTGCCCATGGTGTTCTCGCAAAGTTGGAGACTTTGCAAGAACATGTACTCAACATTATTTGCACATTACTCTGCTTCATGTCCAACCTCAAAAAACCAAAATACCTCCACACCACCGGTGTTTTCATCATCTGTTGATCCTTCATCTACATTTCTGCAGGGGGTAGCACTCATTTTCTTTTTTTTCTCCCCAACAGTGCTGTCGGCTTTACGTGTTTGAGTGCTGTGGTTGTGTGTAGCTGCTGCCTGCTACTACACAGTTGTTTGCTACTTGGTTCTAATTCAGCACATGATTGGTTCAGCGCGAAGCGGACCAGGAGCAGCTCCCCTTTTCATTAGCTATTCCTATAGTCTACCAAAACATGGCAGAATGCCGGTTATCGAAAAGGATATTGACCATGTTTCATATTGATATCGAGGGAAATCAATTTTCGATATTTACCGTTATCATTTTATCGCCCAGCCCTAACTACAACTTTACGAGATGAAGTGTGACAGCTCTCGAATTTTCTTTTTCATTTCCTCCTAAATCTCTGCTTTTCTCTGCATTTTTTGGAGGAGTGACACATCCACAGGAATAATGAGATACTCCTTTTTGATGAGTTCAGTCAGAAATCGCAGCTTTTGGCCTCTGTGTCGAACTCTACACTATTTTGGGCCCGTCTTTTGTGTCTTCTTTATCAGATTCACCACAGCTGTGAGCCCATACAGACTCCACTTTATCTGAAGGGCCAAACTTTGGACAGGGCTTTCGTTGATTGAGTCAGAATAAGAGCGTCTGCTGACTTAATGAAGCAGTGCAGATGTAGATGACTCTCCGTGACTATGGCTCTCCTCTGTCCGGCTGGCTGGTTCTTTTCCCTTCACCGGATACACCCCAGACTCCTCGTGTGCTGCCTATTGACGGACTTTTTGTGCGTCTGAATGCTCTATTTGTGTGGAGAATAATGATTGATGGACTTTGGGGGTGGTGAGCATGCTGCGTTCCCAATCTCTTGTTCTTTTAGCGCCTGTTTGGGGAATCTGACTTGGCCGGAGCTCAGAGCGGGATAAGAGCTATTTCAGGGGGTTGTTTTGGTCACGCTGGCTGCTGGGTTTGAGCTTTGGCTCCGGCTGCTAAAGTTACATGAGAGTTCAGGCCTCCGAGTTGAGGTCTGGAATCTAATCATGGCTGACGATTGCACGGCTCTGGGGGTCTGGAGGAAGTCAACAACTCAGTGGAGCGATGTTGTGAGAGCAGCACTTCAAAACCAGAGCAGATTCCTTAGCTTAATGCTAGATGTGAAGTCGGGGTCACCGAGCGCTCTCACGGCTGCTTCTTACTGGTCTGTTTTTCATTTCAGCACAGGAGCAGCTGTGGAAAAGTCTTCTGCTGTCTGTTTTGATGAGTGAAGACTTTTATCTGTGGACACTAATGTGTAATCCCACCTTAATTGGTCATGCATGCATGGGGGGTCACAAGAGTATATGGAGTTCAGTGGACAGGGAAACTGATCCTGACCAGACTGTTGCTGACAGATCTCCTGAGCATAATCAAACCCCCAGGAATGAATTTTAGGACTGCAAAAATAGGGAAAAATAAAACATGAAATAGTAAATAGTAGTAGTAGTAGTAGTAGTAAATAGTAAAAATGAAATTTCCCCAGGGACAAGGCAAAGTCTCAGTGAAGCTGACTGTATATCGAATGGAAGCCATCTGTCTCCTCGCCAGTGTTGCCAATTCCTCAGTAAGGAAAGTAGCTATTGGCTTTCCTAAAAGTCGCTAAATGACGTCATCGCCGAATTTGCATAATTGGCCAAATTGTAATGGACACTAAAAGGGAGAGGAATATGGGCTAAAATCGTTGGAGAGACAAAAAGTGAGTAAAAAGCACCCCGAATATGTTTAGAACTATAAATGAACCTACCAACCACAACAATACCAACCCTCCTCCTTTATCTGTGCTTGGGACCAGCAAAAATGACCCAATTTAGACAATTTGGCAGAGTTACTGAGGTTTTTTCTTCTTTTTTTAAACAACCAGTGGCGGCTTTGCGCATGTGCGATTTATTTGCGGTATTCTGGATGCGAAGTGCACACGTCTCCAGCAGCTTGGAGGGACCGCTGTGACGTGCAAGGACTGGGCCACCTGTGAGTGCTGTGGGACGCGGGAGAGGCTCAAGCCAGCACACGCTGCTCGTTGAGAAGAGTAGGTGATGCGTGCTTTAATGTCAAAGTCTCCAAAAGTCTCTAATGACACTATAAAAAAACGCTAGATTTGTCGCTAGTCGCTCTTTTAAAAATTAGTCGCTAGAGGGGTCTGAAAAGTCGCTAAGTTGGCAACACTGCTCCTCGCTGGGTAAAGCCACTGAGAGGGGGTTTGTGTTTTCTATGATTGACACTTGATACAGCCTTTGGGCGTACGAAGATTGCCTAGTTTGAGCTGTTTGAGCAGAGCGTCATCACAGCCACTCTCCCGCCAAATGTGTACAACGCTACTGCGCAAGCGGTGGTTCCAGGAAGTGGTGAAAATCCTGGAATTACCGAGAGCAATTCAGCTTTAAATTTGTATAATGACGGAGACATCATGGGGTTTTACACTCTCAAAGTGATGTTTTTGTATTTTTTAAGTAAGGTTGTATAAGATACATGTCAACAGTAAATGAACTTGCAACAGTGGGAGAAGCAGCATGCAAGCTAGGCTACACTTTTCTGCAGACAGGTCGAATCTGCTTAGTAATTTAGCAAAGTATGAGAGACCCCAACTCAAGCACTCATTTCGGTTTAAATGAGACATTTTCCAGCACTTTGCCTTCAGACAGCCCGGTTGTTTTTGCACTGTTTGTGTTTCTGCTGTGTGCAACCCCTTGAGCCAGTTAGCTAACATTAAAACAGGCTGAAAACACCATGCTTATGCTTATAGTGGGACTCCACACATGTTTCTCTCTGTTTGAGAGATAATGAAGCAAAAGCATGCATGTTCAAGCCCGGGCTTTCACTATATCAGATTTTTACCTCATGATTATTATATTCATAAACTCAGTTGATTCATACAATGAACTGACATATCAAATAATACTCAAATTTATGAATTATTCATGTCTCAATCTGTGTGTCTGTCTATATTAGCGCTCCTCATGCACAGTGTTCGTCTTCTCCTCGTTGTTTGGATGTTAGCAGTGCAGCAGGGCTTCAGGCGCTCCAGAATTAGCGTCCACTCTGGCGTTTGAGTTACAGCAGAGCAGGAATGCCTGCAGTGGTAGGCGAGCTCGGCCACATGAAGGCCGCTTTGGCAGGGGGCCATGTTGTGCTAGTGAGAAGGCCCTGCATGCTTGGATATATTAGCAGGGGTTTTGTAACCATTGTAATGAAACGGCCGGGGCTCCCGCGGCCCCTGAAAGGCCTTCCAGCTCTGAATGATTCGGAGCCAAAAAGGAGAGGAAGCAGCGGTGAGTCTGGCCTCGGTCACCACGTCAAGGAACTACAGGACAAGTATGCCATTCATGGGTTTTATTTACACTTCTCTTGTTTGTCAGCACACCCTGGTCCTTTTCTGTTTTTACATTTAACACACACATTTGGCAGACATGCTTGTACAGACACACAAACTGAGGCGAAGTGAATGCAAGTGGTTTTACAGGGGTAATCAGGGACAGCAGATTATTGTCTCGCTCCAAGGCTTATCAGACTACACTCGGTGTCTGTCTCAGCACACACACACATTGTTGCAGCCCCGGCGCCTATTGTTGTGTCACTGGAGGACGTTTCACATTATCCCACTATTTACTAGAATGACATTTTGGCTCACGCTAGAAAGAGGATCTTAGAAAGGAATATCAGACGTGTTTGATAATGATCGACTCGTCCCTCCTCCTCCTCCTCCTGCACCTGTCTGGTGCCGGCGTTGTGAAAAGCCCTCGTCATAAATTCCTGGGCTTTGTTAAGAGGTGTCAGTGACCGGGTGCCTGAGGAGGGCCACGGGGTCAGGGAGGCTATGTGTGTTTGTCTTTATGCATGCATTTTTACATGCACTCTCTCTTTGTGTCACGGCAATATGGTGAGTGCATGTGCGTGCTAAAAGTGTTGGGGGTTGGACACGGTTACCCGGCTCAGGTGTCACCCGGAGAAATGCGGACCTTTTACCCTTTGACCCCGGAACATGGCCCTGGAGGGTTGGGTGTCAAACCATCGCCCCTGAACCTCAGCTAGTGAGGTGTCACGTTTCTCTGCTGGCTGCTGCCACAAGGCCAAAGACTACAGGGGACACAGCTACATGTGTGTGTGTGTGAATATATGTGAGTGTGTGTGTGTGTGTGTGTGTGTGTGTTGACTTTGGCCAAAATCATAATACACACCAGTTGATTGGGGACGGCTTTCCAATTAAGGACAAAAAAGGGGACCCTAAGGTGGGGTGTTTTGTCATATGACCCCAAAGGTGGCCTAAGTGTGTGTGTGTGAGTGTGTGTGTGTTGACTTAGGCCAAAATCGGGGACATTTTTCAGAAAACTCACCCCCCTCGTATCTGAAAATGGTTTCAGCTTCTCTCTAAACCATTCAGAAAGTGGTGCCCCCCTAAGGTGGGGTGTATGACCCCAAAGGTGGCCTAAGTACAGAAGTGTGTGTGTGTTTGTGGTAGTCTTTTAACTACTGCAAACAAACAGTTATTAACTTTTTAGACCTCGCCCCGGTTCATCATGTCGATTATCAAAAAATTAACCAATTCACTCTTAAAGGCTGTATCAGTGAGACAGATGAATGTTCACTTAAAGGTGAAGTCTGTAGAAATAGGAATATTCTGCAGTGTCTTGTGGTCAGCTTCTAGTTTGAAATGCTCCCTTGCTCACCCTTTTTGACAGCTAAAAAACGGCCTTCAAGGACAAAAAAGTCGAAAGTTGATAAATGTAAATCTTTGTTACATTATTAGCAAATCCAAATATACAACCTCTGTTGCTTGTTATTTTGCGTTTTACTTGCATCTACATCCAATCCACTTGGAGTTATAATCATCTGAAAGTGAGAAGCTGTTTTCACGCTCAGAGACCTCCTCCTGAAAACCTTGTTTCAGCCCTAACCAGAGCTCCCTCTGTGTGTACCTGACCCCTCCCCAGATGTTGTTTGGTGAGTTTACACCTCTGCCGCCCTCCACCCATGTCCCCCCTCTCGGAGCGCCTCTCAGAGCGCCTCTGTGTCTAATACTGGCAGGAAGCTGTGACAGGGAAGCCTTCTCAGCCAGCGGGAAAAGGAGGCTAAACATGGTTTGGTGAGGAATGTGAGAGAACAGCCGTGTTCGTTTGTACATTCACCAGCCGGCTTGCCAGCCTTCCAGTCGACCATCCAGACCTCTGAGTGCCTGGACAAGGGGTGCCTTTGTCCCCCATCTGCTGGCTACACCCTGCCCTGCTCCTGCCCCCCATCTTACCCTTCTCTCCATCCTGTTGCGCCTCCTCTGCCTCCCTCTTTTCACTGGCGAGCTCTGGCCCCAGAATAGCGCAGCAGGTCCCCTCTGAAAATAGAGCTGGTGATGTTGGCAGGGTCAGGGTCTCTCCCTCTCTTCCCCCTACTCTGTATCTCTCTCCCCATTTCTGTTTTCCTCTCACAGAATCGCTCTTTTGTTCAAGAGGTTTGTTCAGAGACAGTAATTAGCTAAAGAAAAACATAGAAAGTGCCTGTCAGAAAAAAAACTGAATACTCTTAAAGTATTAAAAGTTTAAATAGCTCCCAGACTTGGTGTCTTGTTTACTTTTTAGACCAGATCTAAATGTGTCCTCAGAGGACCTACAGAAAGTGAATTCATCCAGTTTTAGTCTTTAATGGACCGATGCAGGACAAGCTTTTCGCTCAAGTAGCCATGAAGGGACAGTGTTAAATGTATTTTTCCTGTTCCCTTTAATTTAATCAGTTTAATTTTCAGTTTTTCCTTTGCTGGAAAGATTACATTAACACCTCAATCAGAGTTTGAGCTCTTATTGTATAAAGAGAGCAGGAACAATGAATGAAGTTCACACTGAATTATCATTTTGGCACCTTCTGTTAGCTCCCTTCTGTTCAAGGATGTTGCACTGAAGGCGTTAAAAAGATACTGTCTTATTAACACTGTTTAACTTGATGAATTTAAGTTTGTTCTTTTGTCTTCAATTCTTATTTTCAATCAGCGTTAGTTCCCCTCAACTCCTGAGGGAACTATCAGTCATTTTGTCGCGTTATTCCTCCACTATTTTGTCAAATTTGTTCCCTTTATGTGGAGTTAAGCATCCTTCACCTGCCTTTTTGTAGACAGGCAGGGAATGGCAGGTTTTTCTGGAAAACATCTTGTCTGTGTGGAAAAAAAATTGACAGAGAAGAATAAAGGTACAAAACAATGAGCTGAAAGACACTTAAAACTGAGAGTATTCGCTCTTTACTTTGTGCATTAAAGTTTTAAAGTCATTAAATGAATCTTCGAATGGTTGAGTCACATTTTAGGTGGCCTGTTGAAAAGATTACGTGGATAAAACTTATAGACGCAGCCGTCTCGTAGACTAAACAATGGTGGTCACTCCTGCTTTGAACTCTAGACCCTGAAATTTTACATTTTAGATGTCAAGTTAGACTAGAAGTTTGGTCCGATCCAAATGGATATCTTTTAACTTGAGTATAATGACAGAGGAACTCTTCACAGTCTCTGGATGGATATTTCCCCACGTATAGAGCTGTGTGTTTTTCCAGGAGCAGATGATATTCCACTTTAGTCTCTGAATGAAACCCACCCAGAGCAAAGGGGTCCCACGGAAAGTCTTTGTGAATGATGGAGTTTTTGGTATCTGTGCCACATCAGCAACCTTGTTCTGTTGAGCTATTTATTATCCAATTCACTGTCTGGGTTTATATATAGGGAGTGCAGCTGAATTATATAGAGCCTGAGTGTTTATGGGACTGTGTCTGCTGAATGTATCTCTGGTGCTGGATTACTGGGTTGGATGTAAACCTAATCACTTGATGATGTGCCATGAAGGTGTTTCCAGTAGACTGGAAATTATGGCTCATGCACAGTTTTCCTTTGGCTTCTCTTTCCTGTTTGCTTTCACTGGACATCTGAAGATATACTGTAATTGGTGGTTTGTCGTATGGATCCAGTATTTATAACGACTTTAACAGCGGAGGCATTTGCTGCTCAGAGTGATCTAGAAGTTACGGTTTTCTTGCCCAGAATTTGGTGGTAAAAATCAGTAAACTTTGCTGCAACTTGGGCCGTAATCAGCCAAAGACATTCTTGGTCGACTAAAACCCTGAAATTTTTGACCAAAAATCAATTAATCAGGGATGGGGGTTCTGACTCTGATGGCAAACCCTTCTGCGGCGGGGACAACAAGGTGACGTAGACAATCTTCCTGTCTCTAGCCGGTCTCCAGTGGGTTGGGCAAGTTAAAAATGGTGAAAACAAGGGGGGTGTTCTGAGACAGACTGTTACATGTGAAACGATGGTGCTCTGACAACACCCCCATTAGCACTTGGTACATTCCTCCTGATGAAATTAACCATAGATATGTAAGTTGACAAGGAACTTTGGTCAACTTAGCATGTATCTACCAATAAGTTGACCGGTTGACTAAGACTTCTTTTAATCGGCTTTTTTCGTTTTCTCCACAGATGTTCCTGATCTGCCCAACGCCGTCAGCTCTCCTCCTTCAAGCCCAAATCCAGCCAAGAAGAGCAGCTCCATCAACTGGTCCTTCCCAGACAAGATCAAGTCCCCACGCACTGTGAGGAAGATCTCCATGAAGATGAAGAAGCTCCCGGAGCTCAGCCGGAAACTCAGCGTCAAAGGGACTCCGAGCAGCACAAACGGAGGCGGTCAGTTGGAGCCCAGAGCCCATTCGCCCAAAAACAGCAGGAGCGGTTCAGACTCTGCCCCTCATCCTTCAGGCCCTCCCAGGTTAGCTTCTTCTGGAGGTGGGCAGGCCAGCCGGAACGTGATCTCGCGCTACCACTTGGACAGCAGCGTGTCCACGCAGCATAGCTTCAACAAAAAGAAAAATAACGGCAGCTCAAAGTCGGCGAGCAAAGGAGGCTACCTCAGCGATGGGGACTCACCGGAGCTGGTGGCCAAGTCCGGGAAGCACGGTTCTGCAGAGGGGAAGGGAGGGAAGGGAAAGGAGGCAGAAGGAGGAGGCTCCAAACTGAATGGCACAGAGCTGGACATTGATGCTTTCCGCCATTACAGCTTCACAGAGCAGCCAAAGTGCAGCCAGTACATCTCTGGACTGATGAGTCTGCACTTCTACGGCGCGGAGGACCTCAAACCTCCACGGATCGACTCTCGAGATGTCTACTGCGCCATCCAAGTGGACTCAGTCAATAAAGCTCGAACTGCACTCCTCACGTGTCGGACTACCTTCTTGGATATGGACCACACCTTCAACATCGAGCTGGAGAACGCCCAACACCTGAAGCTGGTGGTGTTCAGCTGGGAGCCGACGCCACGGCGAAACCGCGTCTGCTGCCACGGCACGGTGGTACTACCCGCGCTCTTCAGGGTGACCAGAAGCCACCAGCTGGCTGTGAAGCTGGAGCCGCGTGGGCTGATCTACGTGAAGCTCAGCCTGATGGAGCAGTGGCAGAATTCACTGGACGGTGGTCCGGATGGAGACAGGGAGCCGCAGGTGTTCGGTGTGGAGGTGTGGAGGGTGGTGGAGAGGGAGAACACGGGACTGATGGTGCCGCTGCTTATCAGCAAATGCATCAACGAGATCGAGAAGAGAGGCTGTCAGGTGAGTCTTTGAGAATGAAATGTTCTAGTTTTTCCAGAGAAAATGTGTCTTTGTAGATTGAATGTCGACCACAAACAAAGCTAACGGCATGTCTGAGTGAATCCACTGAATTAATAAGCTGCAAATACAGGATATGAATCTGCCACAGAGTTTTCCAATGAGCTCTGTGTGTTTGGTGATGACCAGAGTATCTGCTGAGTCTGTTAATCATATGCGTAAGTGGCTATTTATGCTTTCTTGTTCATCATTTCTAACAAATTCAATTCTAACAGAGCAAATGAGTGCACCATAAGCCTACGAGGACTCAGTACTAACAGTGAGGCTGCCTGCAGAGGCAGAAAGAAGGAGGGGCAGCTATTGGATCAGTCATGCAACAGTTCCCAAAGACTATCAAGCTCAAAATTCTCATCACTTTTGTTTTGTTTTAATGTTTAATTTTGAATCAAGTATTAAAACATCTTAGACTGAGTTTACTTTAAGGTTAAACCATGTCAACATTTATGTTTAATGTCAGCTGTACATGGTTTGAGTAGGCCGTATTACACATCGACATTATACCTGCACAAAACAGCACTTTGGCTTTAAAACAGTGAAATAGGTTTTGTTGTTCTGGTCAGTAACTTGCAAAATGATTAAAAAATAATCATGAAGAAAAATGTGGATAAAACTGAAATCAAGAATTTGCGTTAAAAGCTTGTGATATGGTATTTTACTGTATCCCCTGTCTACCTCTTTGTAAATTCTTCACTTGTGCTGCAAGTTTGCTCTCCCTTAGATTGTTCATATCTTTTTAGTTTCGACAAATCTGTTGTTTTCACTCAAAAAAAGAAAGTCCTAAGTGTTGGTCATGATTTCCAGATCAAAAAAAAACTCAGTCGTGTTCAGTTAAAAATCTAAAACTCAGAAAGAGAAGAAAACAGTGTTCAAAAAAACTGCAAACATGGATCTCAGCAGCTTCAAACTTATCACACAGAGAAAAGTTTATCCACTCCATCATTTAATCAGAACTAATTTTGATTAATTTTTTAAATAATAAAACAACAAAGCAGAGCTAAAGTCATTTTGACCATTAATGCTTAGCTTAAAGTGACGGCGTTAAATGGTTTGTCTCATCGACAAAAAAAACAAACTTTAATAATGCGCCACAAAGGAAAAAGGGAGGATATCACACATTTGCAAAGCCAGAACCAAAATAACTGGATGAATAATTGATTATTTCCTGTCTTTGATCTTTATATGTATCTTTAAAGACTCATACATGCACAGTACATGTGGATGAAAGCCGCTCTAATCCTATTATGTGAATTGAAAAACAGATGGGGAGTCATTTGAAAAGACGGCTGTAGGATACAATTATATAATGCATTTCTGCATGAAAGTGGAAGAATAGGGAGAGAAAATAATCCCACATTCACAGCGTCCTTTCAGCCCGATATGCCGTGAGACGAGCGCTCGCCCTGCAGCCAGTCGCAGTAATGGATGAGCGGTACGAGCCGAGTGGATAGAGGAGATGTCGCTCTCTGCTTCTGCTCTCCTGAGGCTACAGGCTCTTTTTATTCAGAGAGGAGAGAAGAGGGTGACGTGGTGGTGACGAAGGTGGAGCGGAGTGTTCCCCTGGATCATGTTTGAGCTCTTGTTTGCCCCCCTCCACATTTCATGTGCTCTTTGAAGCTCAGAGAAAGGAGAGAGACAGAGAGAGAAAGAGGCGGCCGAGTTTCTCCTAATTAGAGCTGAGACAGCAGCAGTAAAAGTGTCTGGACACTGTTCCTGACTGATCGCTGTAGGGGGGCATGCCAGGGGCAGCGGGTGCCTGGGGGCCAACAGGCAAACATTAAGCCTCTCTGAGGAGCCCCTGTGTCAAATCAAACCCTGCCCTCCATCACCGTGCAGCATGTCGGGCCTCAAGCAGGAGAATCCGCGAACCTGATGGTTAATTGTTGAATTTAAAGAGAGCTGAAAAAGTTTTTCTTCTTTTTAAACTTTGGTTTCACTTTTCACAAAAACTTTAATATGTTATCATTGATTTTTATTATTGATTTGTTTCAAGTCTCCTTAAGTAAGTGTGTCTAAAAAACAAAAGTTACCTCCTTATAAAAAGCTGTTTTCTTCACAGCGAGGGGTAATTTATGTGTGGGCTTTTACGTCATTATGAATCAAACTGAAGCCACAAATTTGACACTAATAAATATTTAAATATGCTGAGGCTACTTCCAAAAATAATCCGAGTACACTGGATTAAATCTTTAATGTTTAGTCCCATCTTCCCCTTTGGAGGAGCTTGATCACATCACATTGCATCAATTTCAAACCAGCCTTGTCAAATCTGGAAATATAAAACAGTAGAGGTACGCTGTTTTTGAGAGATATATACTGGAGACACTCACCAGATGTTTCAGCTGCAGGTGTCTTCTACGTCCTGAGGCTGTCTAGACTGGACTCTGGTCAATCTCAGCTGACTCAGACCAGCTCCAGCTCTGTCTTTACCATAAACATTCAGCCTTTTACTTTATACTTCCTGTGTTTATGTAACTCTCCCTGCATGGCCTTGCCATCGCCCACCTTGGTTTCTCTTTATATCTTTGTTTCTGGCAGATTCTCTGTCCTCCAGATCCTACTCTCTCCTCTGTTTTGCTGCTTTCTTTCACAACAGACTTTGCATTTTGTATCAGTCTACGATCAGGCGGAGAGGCTCCTCCAGGTTGCAGGCAGACGGGGTTAGGACAGGGTTGACACCAGATCCCAGAGGAATTTTGCAGGTTGTGTCACTAAAGCATGCAGGGCCAGATGTGCAGCGGTGTGCCTTACAAATCATTATGTGCATGTTTGATGGAGACTCCTTTTCAGAGACTTTTAGAAATGAGTGTCCTCGGGGCGTCTCCGAGCTTTTAAGACGCTGCATGATTGTGGGCGTTCTGAAAAGGCTGCACACAAGAGGCTGCAGCTTTGTACGAGAGCACCGTGTACTCTTTAAGAAGAGACGTCTTTGAAAGCATCTATCCTAGTAACCTACATACGATCACAAACACTGATGTTATGTCATGCTGCAGATACGTTTACTCAAAAGGTCAAAAGCCAACAGGACTGAAAATCAGCTGTAAGATCAAGATTTTTCACAGTCCACATCAGTGATGAGAGTTAATCATGAGTCAGTTATTTGGCAGATTGAGACCTTAGAGAAACCAGGACTTGTTCTTCATAACAACTTCTTGTTAGTCCAAAATAGGGCTGGGCGATAAACTGAAAATTTACCAATTTCAAAATTTATGACAATAACCAACGTCATTTTGCTCATATTGATATATTTGGTGTCAAATAAATAAATAAAAGTTGGTTTTAAATGTGTGTAGGTAGGCTATGGTCTCTCGTCTCTTTAAGACGCTGTCCTACGTCAGAGACGTGACTCCACCCCATCCAGTCCGTAACAAAGAGGGAAAGACAGGTGAGGAGATGGAGGACAGTTCAAAAGTTGTAGCGGCTGAAGTAGAAGAGGTTAATGTGGGAGGGGGTGAGCAGCTTGTGGATTAGTTATCGTTGTTATTGATGTGAACTGCTCAATAATTTCGTGACATTGATTTGAGGCCATATCGCCCAGCCCTAGTTCAAAAGCATTAAAACATCATTAAGACTGTGACTCCAGTTTAATTTCTAATGGCGTAGTTGCTGTATCCGAAGACTTGCTGGATCTCTGACTGTACGATTTTACAACTAGCTTTAAAAAGTTGCTCACAGAAGCTTTAACGCATTGATTTCTAACTTTTTCTAAAATTTTACAACCTCACAAAGCAAATGAATTGGCCAGATTTCATGTCTGTCATTAGAGGGATATACCTTACAAAGCCTTAAGCTTAAATATTTGTTCCTGTCAGAGAGAAACTGGACCAATCAAAGTCATTCGAGAAGAAAAAGCACCAGACAAGGACATGATTTGTATGTGAAATAAGCGAGATGAATTTAATGGGCAAATTTTCTCAACGAAATTACAAACATTGGTCATTGGCATGAGAACAGGTGCCTGTTTTCTTCCTTTATGTATTTTACTCTGTGTTTATTCACAGTTCCTCCATATTAGCAAAGATGTCACATGTTTGGTGGTTGAAGATTTTGCTGCTTTTATTTCAAACTGCAAATCTTAACAGAAAAAAAGAGACAGACTGTGAGGAGCGTTTTACAACGCCATGAGCTGATTCCTTTAAAAACGAAGTTGCAGTGTAATGAATTTTAAGAGAAAGGAGCGATTCACTGCAGCGTAGCATACTAGTGCAGCAATACGCTCTCTCCCGTGGTTTTAAACTGTATTTGGAAACCTTTACACCAGGAAAACATGACATCATGCAGGTGAAAACACATCTTTAATTCTCCTGGTGTTTATAAGAAAGGTGAGTCATGTTTGGAGGAAGTTAACAACGTGGTGGACCCGACACTCGAGGGCATTAGTGCGGTCAAACGCTCTCCTCTGTCTGGCCTTTCTTCTGCTTTGATGTTTCGATAAAGTCTTAAAGCTAATCCCCCGTCCGAAAAAATCTGATCCCATCACCGGTCCTACAGTCAGCGAGCGCCTACATTCCTGTCGAGGGAACCCTTTTGGTTTCTCGGTCATTGTGTCGGCCTCGTTCTGCATATATCTGCGGTCTTGGCTGGTGCTGCCTGTTGTGTTGCCTGGCAGCCAGAGTGCAGAAGTGCAAGCCCTCTTTTTGGTAACAGCTGTTCCCCGCCTGCACTCGGCTCTACCCCCAAAAGAGAGACTCTTTTTTTTTTTTCTCAATGGACTTGTTGTTCATTGTGCCCGGTGACTTCTGTTTACTCTCACACAAAGCTGAATCCTGGCCTAATCTCTGCTCCTCTCTCCCTCTCGCGTGAGGGTTTAGAAAACGACTCCATGAGGAGGAGAGCCCACAAATAGCCGGTCTGGTGGGGAGACATTAACGCGCTCCTACGCTGGAGCCCGGAAAGGCCGGCAGCGTGAGTGTGTGTACTACTGTGTTTGTGCGGACCCAACCCGCCATTCACAGCCCACTGACTTAACACGTTACCGGGGCAACCACACCAGTTGGTCTGCTATGCCACATACCAGACAGACACATGTAGGAGAAATTATGGTATGTCTGAAGCCGGGACTAATCCCAACATAACAAGGAGAAAACTGGTGCCAAGTTCCAACTATCAAATGTCTGGAGGAAACTGTTTCAAGTTCCTCTAGGTCACACTAAAGAGGGTTACGTAAAAACACATTAAAGGTTTATCGCTGTGTGCTTTCATTTTTAATGCTGAGCTGTCAAAGTTTTTATTTTTTCAGAGGAGCTCAGTGTTTATCCGTTCATTCAAGAAGCGTGTGATGTTTTTATAACACCTTTAAGTGTCATTTTTCAAAACAGACTCTCTGGTTATCAACTTTCAAAGCCAAGAGATTAAAACACGCCAGTGAAAGTGTTAAAAACAGGAGCTTTTTAAAACACTCTAGAGTAAAAACATCCTCTCAAGAAGTTTGTCTGAAGTTTATCTTACGTTAATGATTGAGGGTTGAATAGTTTAAAGTTGCTTGTTTCTGTAATCCCACACTGTTGCATATGCAGTTTGCTCATTTTAGCTCATGTTAAAGCAGCTGAGTGATTTTAATACCAAGTCGGCTTCATGAATTTAATCACATTACCCTAAAATTCAGCGTCTGGCTTTGTGAGCTAAATATTAGAAAATAAAATGTTATTTTTCCACTAACTTATAGCATATGTCACTACAAGTATTTTTATTTTTATATTTCCTCCTGCTTATTTCAGCTCAACTCAGCTAAATTCAACATCATTTTACCAGGTTACTTAATTCCTTATAGTTTTTCTTTAGCAATTAGCATTATCCCAAGTGTAAAAATAAGCAAACAAAATGCAAAAATTACCCATAAAATTGGTTAAAAGCATAAATAGATTAAAGTGCTACCATTATGGATGTTAGTAACTTAGCTAACATCCACAATGGATAACATTAGGTAGCTAACTTAGCTAACTAATGCTAACTAAAAAGTTAGCTAACTAATTACCTGGCTAACTTAGCTAACTTAGCTAACTAATGGTAACTAAAAAGTTAGCTAACTAATTACTTACCTAACTTAGCTAAGTAATATAAGTCAGCTAACTTACATTAGCTGATATTAGCCAGTTTTGGCAACATTGGGGTGCAAGAGCAGACTCTTTTGACCCTTTTTGAAGACTTGGTTTGTCTTTTTGCTCCTGCTTGGACTGGTAGCTCTTCATTTTTCTTGCTTTGAAGTAGATTAGCACAAAACTAGTGGAGATTTTACGGTGTGGAGATGCTAGCTTATTTGGCAAATAGAGGTAGCATAATATCATGCTGTTGTTGCACAACTTTTACCAACATGTAAACACCTGTATTTCAGTCATTTTAAATCTATCTCACCTGAAGTATTTTAAACAAGCTTTCTCTGTTGAGAGGAGGCAGCTGGTGGCCCATCAAGCTGAGGCAGTTTTATTTGTCTCAAAGTCTTTTCTGGGGATTTACAGTCTGTTTAACAAGCCCACGTGTATCCTAACACCCCAAATTTGGATAGGGAACAGGACAAAATCACTTAAGAGTGAAAGGAGATCCCCGTCATTTGCAGAGAAGGGGGACGTTTAATTGCTGCAGTTCATACAGAGCGGATAAAAGTAGCACTTGGTGGAGAATTAAGATTTGAGTATGAGGTGCAGAAGATCGGGTGTTGTTATCTGAACTCCAGAAAAGTTACCTTTGGCTGCTCTGATTTGAGCCTAACCAAAAAGTGTGCCCTGTCATAAAGTTTAAACAGCGCAAAACTTTGTCAGCGCTTCAAATAAACTGTCACTCTGTTGAAATAAAACAGGATGAAGCTCTAGGACGAGTTGTTTTTGGCTCCTTTCCACCACATTGTTTGGGTGCAGACGTTGAACCTGATTGAGAGGGTTGTAAAAATGTCAAATCATATGTTTACTTGACCTACTTGTGCCTGCGTCTGTGTGCCTTTGTCCTTCCAGGTGGTGGGTCTCTATCGTCTGTGCGGATCCGCCGCTGTAAAGAAGGAGCTGCGCGAGGCGTTTGAGAGAGACAGCGAGGCCGTGGAGCTGTGTGAAAACACGTACCCTGACGTCAATGTCATCACAGGTAAAGTGATCTCCGGTAACACAAGACGCTCACAAAGCTCCGGGTCGGCACGCATACTTAGTATGATTAGAAAGTGGTCAATTAAGTGGATGGTTTACAAAAGAGAGTCAGCGTTCCCATGGGCTCAGGATGATCTCTGAACCTCTACACCATATTTCATCAGGATGCCACACAATATACGGATTAGCAAAGACGTCAGACACACTCGGGGTCAGAGTCAGGACAGGATGGTGATCTCAGGTAAACTCTGAGTCTTCTCTATCACGTCCACAGATTAACTCAAGGATTATTAGAGCTACTATAAGGATTTTTTGGCTTGTTATGGAACAGCGTGAAACCAACATTAGTTTCTCTACAAAAGCAAACTAATTATTTCTAAAGTGCCTTCAGACACAGTCATTTATTTCTGTATGTTGCACTTCAGATATTTAAATGATGGACGTTTAACTTAAAATAAACATTGGATGAGGTTTCTTTTCTCAGAGAGTTTTACCAGCATATACTCAGGACAAAATCAGCCAAGTTACTGGATACAGTGCTTCATCCACAGGGGGCGCCGTAATCAGCATGAAACAAAAGCGCTCTAAAACTTAAACTCAAAGTTTCTCCTCTTTTCCTTTTTGAGAGTCTGAACCTTTGCTTCAAGATTTCTCAGCTAAATGTTTTGAAGTATTTTAGATGAAGAATTTTGTGACAATATGAAAAGGCTGGGCTATTAAAACAGCCTGTATCCTTCTCCATGTGAAATACTTGATTCTGATTGGTCGAAATCCCATTTTTATTTTGATTTGTGTGTTTAAGTGGAAACAACCTGACAAAACTCTGTATATCAGATAGGGGTGGGAGAAAAAATCGATACAGCAGAGTAGAACGATATGTTGTCTGGTGATAGATCGTATCGTCTCATTTACCAAGAATCGATTTTTCAAATTAATCGCTAATATGAAGTCAAATCTATGGTAATGGTAAAATCAACTGTTTGTCCAGTGAGGTTAGAGGAGGTGACACTATAGAGCAGGAGAAAGTTAGTGCAACAAATATATATAAGGTTTGCAAGATGTGCTACATGAAAATAAAATACAGTGTAAATAAGACAAATATAAAGAAGCGCCAAATGCTAAATTAGCTAAACAGTTGAAAAAAAAAAAAAATCGCAATGATATCGTATCGTCGCCTAAGTATTGTGATAATATCGTATCGTGGGACCACTGGTGATTCCCACCCCTAAGACCGGGTCAGTTTGGGGATGGGAGTTCAGCACATTTTAACCCTGCTTGTTGACACTGTGGTAAAAACATCAGTTTCATACATCTTAAGCTGTTTCTGAGTGTGGACAGTTAACCAGGTTTAGCAGAGGGGTCTGATTTCACTCTGTCAGGACTCTAGCTCGCAGAACCACATGCTCACTTTGCATTATCTCTACTTATGAAATACTTTTGAGAGGTTTACACCAAAAAAAAAAGATTATCATGTTTAAATCTCCACATTAAATATGTGATGGAAACATAAAAGCTCAAATAAAGGCATAAAGTGAATCACTTGGTTGTCAACTTGCTTTAAAACCCAATCCTAATCCTCAGATCAGATTCTCACTTTGAACCTGCGACACAGAAGGACCACATTGTTAAAACCCCAAGACAAATACTCCTTAGATATTAGAAGAGAGGAGAGAGAAGGCAGAGGCAGCCTACGCCTCATGGTGTCTCGTAGCACGTAAACATTAATATAAAAACAAACAGGACATTACTCAGTACAGGGTTTATTATTGATCCTCTTCTCGCCCTGGAAAACGTGCCTGAACTGGTGTGTCCGCCGCAGATAGGTCAGCACATGTGTGAGTGTGTGTGAGTCTGCTGTTTGTAGTAAACGCATTCCAGCAGTCAACCAACAGTACGGGCCTGTGCCTGAGGGGAGAGCCCACACACACACACACACACACACACACACACACACACACACACACACACACACACACACACACACACACACACACACACACACACACACACACACACACACACACACACACACCACGCGGTACATTCAGGTCATTCTTTTCCCTCAGGTTTGTGGTTGAGACATGCTCCACACTGTCCCTTCTAGGTCACGTTTCAGGTAAAGAGAGGACTCCGGGGCCTCATTACAGGAAACACTCCTCACTGTATGAATCATCCTATCAACTTGCTCTTATAGCAGCGTCTTATCTTAACCCAAAGCTGGTATTTTATCTCAGCATAAAGCTCCTGTGAGGGGTTTTAAGCCGGTTATGAAACAGACCAAACTCTGCTGATAAGTTTGACTATTCAGAGTGTTTTTTTTTTGTCAGAAAACACGACCCAAACATAATCAGGCGAGATTAGCAAAAGTTCAGACAAGAGCTGAGTTTCGTGTCTGGCATTTTACTTTGCTCGCCCTGTTGTGTACATGTTTGTGTGTTTTTGTCACTACAAAGCTGTCCCTCTGCTCTCTGGTTAAATGGTGACTAGATAACACTGTCTTTTGACATTTGCACAGGGGTAAAGTGGGCATGTGGGATTAAACATGTCTGTGGAAAAGAGGAGATGCAGCAAGCAGGATGGATCATAATAGCAGAGAAGGTTGAATCATCTTTATACGACTTGATTAGCCTCTCAGGTACATTTTGACAATCGTTTTAACTGAGGGAGAATTTCAAGAGTCAAAACTCTGTAACTCTTTCTGTCCCACCCTTTAAAGCCTGGTTTATACCTCTGCATTAAATCCACGCCTTAGGTTTAAGCTGCACTCTTTCTATGCAGAAGTTCATGCACACAGCCTGACATGCATCTCCTCATAAACGCAGCTACACGTCAAAACAAGGCAGACTCCAAGCTCTGTGATTGGTCCCCGGGGAAGCATAATAATTTCCTGCATTTACTACTTTTGTGGTATCGCAGCAGCATTTCCCGAGTGCTGCCTAGACCCAGTAGCTGTACACTCTGTGTCTTTAGTCATCTCCTCTTTTTTTTTTTTTTATATCTTTCCAGAGATTTTAACAAAACCGTAAACTGTGGTTGCACCGCAGAAACATACGTCTGTTTCTGCTTCTTAAAAGGACGGTTTCCTCTCCACACTAGATGCTGCTCAGTGTTTTTTCTCATAGTGGATTTATGTAGGGTTTCCATACTTAGAGTACACTCTAGATTTTCTGTTTCTCTGAAGTGAATTTCGGCTGCACACATTAAAACTGATGATGGTTTCTGCTCAAAAAGGACTAATGTGGATTTTCTTTTCACTGGTGGATGACATTTCCCATCCATTAGAAAGAACTGAAATAAGTCAAAGTGAATAAAAGAAGTTTTTATGAACTTTAATGTCCATGAACCTTCTCTGCGTCAAAAAAAGTTAAATTTTCAACCAACTTTATGTCTATATTTTGCAGAACAAATGTCGAAAATGTGAATTCCAGGCTTCTTGAAAGCTCACTTTTTCAAGAATAAATTAAGGTGCCTCCATCTAAACTTCGAGTTATCTTCTCTTAGTTGACACAGTTCTCCAAACAGCTTCAAATTGCCAACAAAAAGTCAAAAACAATGACATTTTTTTCCAAACCAAACCCACATTATCAACCCAAAGTGAGATAAGACAGGTTTCAGACTGTGGAAGTGTCTGTCTGTCTGCGCAGAGGCCTACGTCTGGTTATTTATAGTCTGTGAAGTGTGAAACTTGTTTGATTGTCCCACAGGCAGCTCTGAAAATGTTATGTCTCATACTGGAGGCCCGTAATTTAAATGCCACTCAGATTCCTGCGAGTCGCAGCTCCTTTCCGCTCCATCGCTGTGAAATTAAAAATGGAAACAGTGAGTTACAGCGCGACTCCCGAGCGTCTTCATCTCGCAAAAAACAGCCATGTCATTGGATTGAGTAATGATTCCAGCAGTGCCACAGAGAAGGGGAGGAAGAGGAGGAGGAGGAGGAGGGGCAGAGTTGTAAAAAATCACTTGGTCATGATTTTTTGTTTCTCCCACAAAAAGAGGAAGACCACGGAAACCACTGGGCATTGTAGGAGCTGCTGTTGGTTTTGGGAAGAGGCCCCGTATAGGCGTCGTCCTATCATGCCTGCTTTGATCCGCATGCATTTGCATGGCAGGGCAAAGAACACAGTTAACAGTTGAACGGGTCAGAAAAAAAGGGCCAGCACCGGCGTGGATTGTTGGTTTTTCTCTCGCTGCCAAAATTTGCTCCACCAAGTGAGTTGCTGTTGCAGAGACACAGAAGGGGGGGAGGGGGGGGGGATGGGTTTCTGGTGTGTGGTGAAAAAGTCCATCTGGGATATAATCATAGGTTTAGTCTTAAAGCAAACTTTCAGGAAACATTTGGTGAAAATCAGCCACTTTGTTGACCTAACTTTACCTTGTCTGACTCGATTTTGACGGCCAACATCCTCAAAAACAAAAAAAGAAAACTCCTCTTCAAATTTACCAACGACTCTAGTATCCCCTAAAGTTTTATCAACGTAGAGTCAGACGACTCTAGGCTAATAAGCAAACAGCTAACGGATGAGCTAAGAGAGCCGGAGCGTCACCCGGCTAATTTAAAAGAGGAGGTAGTGAAAGGGATTATCCAGGGATCAGAGTTCAATCCAAAGCTTGCAAAACATGCTCAGTGTGCAGCCCTCCATTGTTTCAAACACAATCCTGCGTTTCGAGACACAATTCAATCAAACAGTGCAATCATAATAAACAACATGCTGTGACTCTTGTTAGATTTGTTCAGAGTTAAAGAGTTGTACCAGATAAAGAGTGTTTTTTTATTTTACTTTGGCCTCTAACAGCGCTGGAGAAGAGTTAAGATGTCACAGAGACTTTTTAAAATGGCGAAAAATTGGCGATTACAGCGCTGCACCATAATGCCAGTTCCAATGCTACACATTTTGAGGTGGAGTGACTCAAACCCAACATTACGCCTCCGCCTCTCTGCGTCATACATGACTTACAAGGCGTAAATCTGGCATTGTTTTTCCGACCTGGAAGGCTTCGGTCAGTCGTTTGGCTTACCTGACTGTTTTGGCAGCTTTGATTGCGCCTCTAATCGCATCGACACAAATTGGCTTTCAGCGCAAATAGAAAACAACTTAAAAATGTTTACTTCATGAGCCTCGCATCACCAATTATTTACAGATCCTCCCGTCTGGGTAAAAATAAATGAACCCGTGTGAATCCGTTTGGTGTCAGCGCACACTTTAGTGACCTTAGCTAATAATTAAACCTTCAGCTCAACCTGTTTTGGTCTTTGAGTGAAAACAAAGCTCCTTAAGTGATCCAGTGATGCCAAATGAAACCAGTATGTCACGGGGTCTTCATCTCCGTATTGATCCTAGTTTGTGGTCTTTAATTTGTCCTGCCTGACTCGTCTTTTCCATAGCCTACTTCTTTCTGTGTTTTGCCCCCCCACCCTCAGCAGTACTCCAGTGAAGACATGGAAAGTCATTAACAAGTGCCCCCTTTGTTGCCGAACAAACACAGATGGTATTTGGCTCACGCATGGGGGATTAGCTGAACCCTGGGCCGGCCGGGGAAGCAGGCAACCACTTTACAAAGAGCTGCGTGGGTGACAGAATATTTCTTGAACTGACGGTCTGGAGTGAAAACCGGTCCGAGTCGTAATCCTGGTAATTGCTCATGTAGCGTTAGGGACCAGTTTCCACTGTCAGGAATGGGGTTACCTCAATTTGAGGCCGTGGGTGGAGGGTTATGGAAAAGCTGAAGAAAGGCCTGCCGTGCCACCAAACAAGGCAGCAACACACACATCTCCTCTGGCCCCCCCTAGTGCTGTGGGGGCGTGAATGACAGCAGCGAGGAGGGGGGGCAGGACGGAGAACAAACCCCTGTTTGTTCTCTGGGCGAGGCGTTGACTGCAGCGCTGACAAGAGGAGTGACCTTCTGCTTTGTTTGAACAAGAGGTCAAAGGTAGAGCCGTGCCCCAGTGCATTGTGTGCCTTGTAGTGTTTGGTGGCACATTTGGAGCGCCGATCAATTCAGGAGAAAAAAACATAGAAATACTCCGAGTAGTTGTTATCTGCTGCTTTAGTTGTAGTTTTTAGAGGGTCAGATGTGAAGAAAGAAGATATTTACTCGGGTGGTTGTGTAAAAGAAGTAAACGTTCAACTTTGTCATTCCTACAAGTCCTTTCTGCACAAAGCCAACGCCATATGAGGGTTACCATAAAACTGACATTATTCCATCATAATCATCCGTTATATATTTTCCTGTATTGTAACTTGAAGTTGTCTGTTGGATGGGAATTGTCCGCACAAGTATAAAAAAACCAAGGACACTGAAATTTGTGTCGAAGTTTCTCTGTTTGCTGCGGTCCAAATCAAATTCAGTTTGTAACTTCCAGAAAAACTGAAAAGGATGAAAACAAAGGCTTTTGTGTTGACATGTCTGAGAGATATTTGAAAGAGAGGTATCTGAAAACTTGATTTATGTCTTGGTTTCAAGGACATGTAAGCACTGAGGTTTTCCTATGTTGTTGGCCTAACTCTATGGTGTTTGAGATGGAGAGCAGTCTTCACCAGTCGGACAAGTTAGATCGGAAAATCACATGAGTAGCAGAAGCAGGTAGCAAAGGAGCTATTCAACTCTCGGACACTATTATCCTGGGGGTCATGATTAAAGCTAGTATCATAATTAGCTTTCTAACTAGCCTTGCAATCCACTAACACACGCTTGTTCCACTTCCTTGTTTCGAAAAGAGGAAATCAATTGATTGTTCATTGTTAAGATAAATGTCTTATTTTTTGCTTGTATGTTAATAATTGCACTTTAACTAAAAGAAATTATGTTTGATCCGATCACTCGATTAATCGATGGAATATTTGGTAGAATACTTGATTTCTAAAATATTCTGCAGCCCTACAATCGAGACAAATGTAAAAGCGACAATGTATCCATATTTCTGTGACATGTTTAATAGTTTATTGGGTTTAAGTGTGTTAAATGTGGTTTACTTTGTGCTGTTACCAACCTGGGTCATTGAAATGTGTCTGTTAAGTGGTTGTGAACAAATCCATCATACATAATGACTTCTCATCCATACCCAACCGAAAAAACGAGGGATGCATTACTATAAAATAAAATATAATAAAGCATTAAAGTTTTAGTGCTTTGACTTCACCTCTATGCTTCAGACATGCTGGTGGAGGTGTTTGTCTGTGTTGTTTTTATTATCTCTGCTGGTGTGAAGCCAAACAGTTTAAATGTGAGAGAACAGACACTCAGCGTGAGCTTGTTGTCAGCTTGGCTGTGAAGGAAAGTAAGGCACCTGCAGGGAAACACACCTGTTCACCCCTGAGCCCATGACCCTGAATGTGCATGTGTGTGTTCATGATTCACTGAGCATGTGTGTGTGTAGATCATGCACCAACTGGGGCAAAGACACAAAAGTAAACACGAGCACTGACTCATAGCGGGCTAATGATTTACCTGAATGGCTGTATTCTCCTCACTTCAGACAAACACAAGCGCGCGGTTTGACTGACAGGTGTGTTTTTTTAATTACTGAAATGGAAAAAGTTTCAAAAACGTGTGCGAAGCTTTCTCAGAGTGCGTGACTGAGTGTGGAGAGGATGTTTTGCTCCACGCCGCAGAGTTAACGTGAAACAGTTCTGCTGTTGTTGTGTCTGGATGATCTGCCTCACAGCACAGCGAAGGTCAGAGAGTCCACCGTGCTTCAGTTTCCAAGGGAAGTTGGACCTCTCTGTTTTGTATTTGCGCACACACAAAAAAAGGGCCTAACTTTGCACAGATAAGCATAAAAACACACAGCAAATTTTTGCTTCCAGGCAGGCTGCTTTCCTGCGATTAAACAAGCAGATTATTATTATCACGTCAAGACTGACAACAGGAAGCTGGAGGATGTTCCCAGAGTGTTTCTGCCTAATCTGTTCTGGAAATCAGCACGTCTAGAGGAGCGTGAAATGAGAGGGGAGGCATTTTGTGTTTATGAGTTCTTATCGCATTCTGCTCATTCCAGATTTGTGGCAAAGCAGATGGAGATAAATGTTAGCAGAAGAATGTGAAACAGAAGTGGAAACAAGATGCAAACACGCCGCTACAGATCAGTCACAGAGGCAAACACGGCAAAGAGGACGTGTCTAATCGCTGGGACAGTCTATGAGGTTTCAAGTGCGTGTTTGTGTTGAACCCCGACCCTGCTGATTTACGGCTGTCATTGTGTTGCTGTACCTGAGATGAAAAAGCGCTTGTTTGTTTGAGATGTTTTCCCGTCAGCGCACCGTCACTGACTGCTTCAAGAATGAACTATAACCTGGGGGTGTTCCAACAAGGGTACCTCATGATTATTGGAGCTTTGACTCGATTATTGGTGCCACGATTCTTCGATTATTGCCATTTTTAATGTTTTTTCTCCTACAAGATCAATTTTGTCTTCATCTGTGGCTACATTTGTAAATAAATAGCCTATCAATTAACTCAGTTCCTCTAAAACTACACTCAATATGTAAATAAGGTTTTTAAACATTTGACTTGGAGACACAACATATTTTATTTTATGACTGCATGACTGTTATGTTTGTGATGTTGCTGAGGTACTTTATTTTTGCAAATCTTGAGGACAAAAATTCTTGCACAACTTCACCAACTTCCAAGGTGCTTAGAGAAAAAGGATCTTAAGGAGGTCCAAAGAGCTCCAGCAACACTTGTAGTTCAGGAAAACATCTTTATTCATTTGAAATGTGTTGGTGGAATAAAGCTGTTTTCCTGAACTACAAGTGTTGCTGGAGCTCTTTTGACTTCTTTGCAAATTTTGCAAATCGCGCAAGTCTTGTCAGTCGTCTTGTTTGCTCTCTCATAAAATCCAAAGTACTTCCACACGGTTGCAGTCAGCCCTGGTGGCGAGAGAATTGACCGCTCTTTGGAGGCAGCTGAAGCTGTTGCCATTTTAAAAAGAAACTAACATGCTCTGATTGTTGTGGTCCCACTCACTAAACAGTCCGGGCGGTGTGCGTAAAGGTTCCGGTTATGTGTCTTTTTGTTCTGGCCTTGAGGCAAAGCATCAATGTTATTATTTATTTATTTTAAGCATCACGTTAAATAATCGGTGCCGAATCGTTACTTGAAGTATCACGATGCATTGACACAATAAATTGAACCCACCTCTACAATTTCCAAACCACATCAGGGAAGTTTATCCTCAGACTAAAGGGAAAGAGTCCTCAAGTAAGATATGAAAGAGTTTTTGTTAGACCAGATTTAAATCAAAGGTGCACCAGACTTAGTTTGATAATTAATTGATTAATCTGGTTGTCTTACGACTTTAATTCACTGTAAAATGTTCCATACCTTTACTGTGATTGGTAATTAATACAGAGCAGTGGTTGCTGTAATCGAAGTTCACTGTAGATTACTGTTGAGCTTTTGTTTGTGCAGACACTGAAGTTAATGCTAATCTGAGTCTTTATCGTGTGACACTGAACTGACATAGATCCTATTCTCTCTCCTTAATCCTCTATCCAAAACCTCTTACCTCCCCCAGTCCTCATGTAGAAAACAGATCATGAATTTGATTGTCTTCAGTTAAAAACTCTTATTGTTGTGCGCCCAGTTTAATCTCCAGAGATTACTAATTGATGGACCAACAAAACCAGTAAGAATCTGGGTAAACCCCGCAGAGGAGCGTTACAGGATCTTACTGGGATTAAGAAGTCAGTGTGTTAATTTGCGCTCTCTGTTCTCCTCACTCGGCCTAAAAGGATGACGGAGGATTGAGAGTGAATCGTATTGTAGTTTGCTGTAAATAGACGTCGACAGGAAATGCGCCTCATCGGAGATAATCCAGCCGTGTAGTAGTGACAGGAGCCGCCGTTTAAAACGTCCTAATGAGTGTCACTTACCAAGGTGAGAGGATTGAGACGCTATTTTGAGGATATCTCAGAACAGGAAGGATGCTGCTTGACATTTACAGTATGTACTGAATGATTAATCCTGTGCTAATAATAAACTGAACATGAGTGAAAGACATTTCATTTACAGCGTTTATTCGCTGTATTTTCATGGCGAAAGCTTTCCTTGTGCTGCAGGCTTAAAAGTGACTGATTTAGCTCTGATAGATTCAGGTTTAAAGCTGTAAAAATGGAGGGAATAGTTCAAATTGTTGTGCTTTAATATAAATGATCAAGTATGAGGAGAGAGAGGAAGAAATCTGGAGGGAAGTTGAGTCATTTTTGGTGTTAAACAACAGATTTGTTAAACTCATTCGCTGTAGTTAGCATCCAGCAACTTAGTGTTTGAGGAAGAGGTCTCATTTGAAACTTTTCCCTGTGCAAAGCTCGGGTGCTACAGTTAGCCTATTAGACATGTTTGTTTTTGGTATTTGGACCGATATTCCACCTGATTTTCATACAGTGTTGTCTTTTCCACTCTTTTCAATCTGACTTGGGATCCACCCATCCGATATTTGATATCGGTACCGGTCCTGATACTGAAGAAAATTCTCAATTGGGTATCGTGACAATGGTCTATTCAGTCTAACTCTATGCTATGCACCGTAAATGGCATCCACAAGTAAACATGCTGAGCGGTCGCCACATTATTTTCAAAATGGAGTGAGCGAAGGGGTCTGTTATCTTGAACAATATCACAATACCTCAGTTTACTAGCTCAACGGCCACTTGAAATACCTGCGCAGTGGTGAACAAAAGATAATTCAGCTTCTCTGTATTAGAACTGGATCGGTATCGGCCGATACTAAATTGTAGATCTGTACCGATGTTGGAGGTAAAAAAAAGCTGATCAGTGCATCCCTAAATCTGACGCCAACAAAATGATGATCCACGTCTTTATGTTTGCATTACAGCAAAACGCCAAAGTGTCATTGAACACCCAACCTGGATGGAAAAATAGTCACAATAATCACTTAATAACAATAATAATAATAATAACTTTATTTATATTGCACCTTAAAAATCAGACGTTACAAAGTTCTTTAAGGTAGAAAAAGGCAGAACTCTGCGGACAATGAATCAATCTGGTCAAACTAAGGCCAAAAGAGTCAGCTGAAAATGCACCGAGGTTCATGAAAATAAAGCAGCACAAGGAAAGTACAGATGATAGATGGAGATGGAAAAAAGGAGGGTAGATAGGATGGATGAAAGAGAAAGAATGGGAGTAAATGAAAGCATGAGGAGATGTTAAACGCAGGATTAAAACAATGAGAAACAGGAGAGGAGAGTTAGAACAGCAGAGATTAAAACTAGTTAAATAAGTACTGTAATTGTAAAATAAGTGTGTAGATAAAATAGAATGACATAAATAATAGAAAGAAAGCATCGTGTAAAAGCAAGTCTTAAAGAGTGAGTTTTAAGATGTTACTGATTCAGCACGCCTTATCTCCTCGGGATAATAGTTTAAAAATAGACAATCCAGGGTTTCACTTGAGTGATGATAAGACACGCCAACATATGGAACAAATACGTCTTAACCTGCATGTTTCAACAGGAATAATAAGCTGCTCCAGTTCGACATTTATCTTGCGAAATGTAGCAACACAATCTCAAAGTAAAAAAAAACACTGATATATGATCACATCCAAATTTTCTGTGAGCTCTCTTCTCCCCCCGCAGAAAACCTCCAACACAATAATCAACATGAACCCATTCAGCTCATAAAAACAAGAGCTACGGTTAATCTGGATTTTCATTTATAGTCTGAATAAAGCAGCAGCGTGAACGAATCATGTTTGCAGAAATAACCTCAGAGCACAGCACACTTGATCCAACTTATGAATATTCATTTTCAGCTTCTGGAGGAGTCTTTGGCGTGACCGCATCATGATGTTTGTGCCAAAGAAAATAAGAGAAGAAAAACCGGCTGAGGATTGTAGATGAGGCTCATGAATTAAAGGGAAAAGCTTGAACTAAAGAGAAACATTTAGTCACGTTCGCGGCTAAATGAGGATCTCTGCGTCTGTTTTAACTGTTTGATGTCTCGAACATCGACAAGTACAACTCATCACTGTGTTGTTTTTCCTGTAACGCTTTTATTCTTCATGTTTCTGAGCAGTGGAGTCAGTCTTTAAAGACAGTAATAGTTTTAAGCACGGCCAATATCATTATATCATTGATTGCACGGCCCCCAGCTGTCTCTGAAAACCGATCCAGCTCTTAGCAGAACCACAAAGAGCTGTCACTCTGCCAGCGGTCTTTCTTATTCCCGTATTTACTCTTTCTTCATCCCTCTTCGCCTTTGATGAAGAGACATGCCAGCGATATTTATTTCATGGGCTTAGTGGAGACAGACAGCGTGGGTTTTGTGCTATTCTGTAGCTTTGTCTGAAGTGCGGGAGGTTGAAGTCACAGGTGTGAACACACCGTCACGAACACACACACCACCCGTCCCTGCAACACATTTGGCTGCAAAGTCACCCCTGACTCCAATCAGGCATTTTGGTAGACGCCACAGGAGGAAACAATGGGCGCTCGATTCACAGCCAAGACAGCGGGCCAGGTTCTGCTAGAGAAGAGAGGGAGAAAAATGAGAGCTTGTTTCTCTCTGACAATGTCCAATCAAGATATGCTGCTCCTGATTAGTCAGATTTAGACATCCATGAATATTTACAAGAGGCGGACCAGTCTCAGTTTTTATAATAGAGAGCAGGTCAGCCAATCGATGATGTATAATGCGAACAATGCCACATTGTTGTTGATATTCATGAATTTGTGACCTTTTTTTACTTCACCGCGCTTGTTGATGAGACAGACCTCCAGGAGGCGATATTTTTTTCGTAGAATGGTAGGGAAAGGTCCCGCCTCCTTTGCCTCTGATTGGCTAGCAAAGCTGGAAACGTCATCTAACGCTCAAGCTGAGCGCAGGCTGTCGGCTCTGTACATCAAACAGAACATTATCGCAGTTCTGAATCTCCTAACCCAACCCCAACCCTAACCAGACAGACAATGACGTTTTACAGCCATAAGGAATAACCAATTGGAGCCCAGCACTTCTAGCCAATCAGAGGCGAAGGAGCATCCTACAAAAAAAAAAAAAAAATTGCGGCCGGCTCTGAAGTCACACATCAATGAATGAAACCCCGGCGGGTACGTCACAGCTAATCAGCGGCTAGCTACGGTTAGCTAGTAAGCTAGTAGTGCCGTTTTTTTAAGTTCGTCATTATTTATTAAAGCCACACAGCGATGCAAACCATAAACATTTCTTATAAAAAGCACTATGTGTGATGAATTGTCATAGTTTTTACACTTCAGGAGACCAACTTCACCCCCCGGGCAGAGATAACACAGACTGCACCGAACGTTGTGGTGTGCAGCAATAAGAACAGTGCTGACTTCTGCTGGGATTTTCAAAATAAGACATTTCCACAATGAAAAACAATGGTTGCATCCCAAATTTAACAGGAACTTACCTGAACCTGAACCTAGGTGATCATTCATTAAATTTTTGTAGACTGATAAAAATAAAAACACAAGGTGAATATTTGGGTTTTGTCCATTTACATTATAACCACATACACAGGTCTGTCTTAACTGAGGTGGATTTGTTCTCTCCTACTTTTCAGGGGTGCTGAAGGACTACCTTCGCGAGCTGCCCTACCCTCTGATCACCAAGCCGCTGTACGAAGCCGTGTTGGAGTCCATGGCGACGAGGCCTCTGCGGATAGGAGCGTCAGGTTGTGAGAACGACTCGGCCGACTCTGAACACACCGTCGGTCTGCTGGAAAACCTGCCGGAGGTGGAGAGGGTGAGGAGCAGAAACTTGACCTCAGAGTCTAAAAATGCAGTCACGGGCGTGTTTGTGAAGGGGCTAATTGTGGTTTAGATAATTATGATGATAAAGATGATACTGCAGATCCTCTTTTACGTCGACTTTTACATCAGGTAGAGCTGTCTCACACTTCACACTGCTGATACAGAGAAACTTTTCTGCTTTCTGTTATTAAACTAATCCAAGTAATGATGTTTGACACAGAGGGAAAACTCAAAGTCCAACTGATGATGAATGTCTAGCTTATTATATAATAATATTAACACGTATTTTATGGGTTTTTTTTGCTTTAGATGACTCTGCGGCGGCTTCTCGACCACCTCAAGTTAGTAGCGTCTTACCAGGAAGTGAATAAGATGACCTGTCAGAACCTGGCGGTGTGTTTCGGCCCGGTGCTTCTCAGCCAGCGCCAGGAGGCGTCCTGCCACACGAACCGAGTCTTCATCGACTCCGAGGAGCTGGCCAGCGCGCTACACTTTAAAAAACACATCGAAGTCCTGCACTACCTGCTGCAGCTCTGGCCAGGTGAGACACGGTTTGGGGGTTCGTGAGCGCCGTTATAGTGATCTGGGTCAAATGCAGTGGGGGTTTATGGGGATCTGTATGTTGAGTGGTTTTGCACAAATCAGCGCCAGCTCTGTGGTTCGGCTCTACAAAGGGCTGTAAACGGGCGGGGCCGCTTTGATCCATGAGGTTATCCACCACTGGCACGAGTTCAGCTCGGATAGCCACGGGCAACCATCTGTTGGCTTCCTCAAAGGCGAAACTCTCAACAGACGGCTTCATGAGCCAATCACAGCTCAGGAAATAAGCCCCAGTGTAAAGCAGACTTTTGAGGTGTGGCCCCCGTTCTTTCGGGTAAATCACAAACCAAGGACGGCGAGCAGACAGATACCCAGCAGCAGCTCCTCTCGCCACAGGTCATCTGTCTGCCTGCACAGCTGCTCTGGGCTCGCTGCAGCTGTCTGCTCAGTGTGAGAGATGAAGGAGCCCGCAGATTAATCAGCTGTGATGAAAAAGAGCTGCAGGCGGTCAAATTTGTATCAGTCACTGCAACTAATTCCATATCTTATAACCTGAGGGGTTCGATTTTTGAAGGTTTGTGTTCAGCCTGTTTTTAATCAATCTGTGAGGCTGGCAGTGACTTCTGGGCTGCAGCTCCAGACTTATGCAAGAGAGGAAATTGGACTGAGGATTACAAACACAGGAAAACATGAAGCTGTGCGACTTCTGCTGCGAGAAGAATGACTCCACCTGATTGTAGGGGAAAAAAAGTAAACCTCTGTGAATCAATCAGACTTTTTAGGATATTAAGATGACAGAACCGTTTATAAAATTTTAGATATGCACATTTATCAACCCTAATGAACGCTGCAAACTATGAAAAAGAAACAGTCATACTAAATGCACTAAACTCCTAAAAGTGTCTTTTCTTTTAGGAGTTTAGTGCATGTGTTTGAATTTGAAACAGCTTGAATTTTCACCCCAAATTTGTCTGGGATTTTTCCTGGTATAAATCTCCCTGTGAAGTTGGGTTGAGCTTGTGTGAAAAGAAATAAGCAGCGGAAAATTCACTGTGAGCGAGTGAGCAGGGGTTGTATCACAGGAACGGTGGAAACCCAGTGGACCGGTGTGTATCAGGATGATTAAAAAAACATCCGAGGTTGAAGAGGGAGGATCATTTTCCTGAGAACTCGTCCTTCTATGCAAAGTATACTGACAAGTGTTAGTGCAAAAACAGTCAAAGTAGCAAAGGTGTCAGTTGCTTATGTTGTCCACATTACACTGCAGCTCGCACAGCATGCTTTTGGTGGCATGTCCTGCCTCCTGAAAATCTTTATATATGTTACCTTTTATAAAAATCAGATGCAGGTCAAAGTGTTTGAAGAAAAAAACTAAAATTAATTAAAAATCATGGGACATGTCGGAAACAACTTCTGCTCTGTCCTCACTAAATAAAGGCAATAAAAGCCCAAAATGTAACTTGAAGATACAGAATTAGATCATAATAAATAATGAGATAAAAAGAAAAAGAAAAAACTTAAAGATACATGTAAGCATAAAATAATATTAAAGTAAAGTTAGAAAAGTAATAAACAATATAATTTATATGAAATATAAAGATAAACCAAATTTCCAGGTGCAGCATTGATTGTTATCAGGAAAATTTTAAACTTTTTTCGTGATTATTACATGATTGTGTATCTGGACACTCCTGTAAAAGAGGTTTTTTGATCTCAATGAAGCTTTTCTGGTTAAATAAATTAAATGAAAATTACAATAATTGATGTAAATCTGCAATCCAATCAGTTCCCTGATCTATTACTGTAATTAATAATTTAGCTGGAATCAGACATTAGTGAATAAATCTGTAACATTGTGGTGTTATCTGTGGATGTAATGTCAGTCAAAGCCAGCCAAACTTCAGCGTTAAGTGCTTTTTAGTACTTTTGTTTACCATCTTTGACTCTGATATCACAGGAGCAGCTTTAACTACACCTGCTGAATGATATCTGAGGAATAACTGAGTCCATGTCTGTCTAAGCTTCTTAGTTTAACTACATCCTGGATTCATTTAAGGTAAAGCTTCTCTGGTTTACATCAATCTGGGGAAGAAACACGCAGATGGGGAGCCTGAGTGCAGCTGCAGGATAAGTCAGCAAAGACTTTTTTCCGTCAGAGGACAGAGCAGATCTGCAGACGGTGAAGAAGGGTGGTGGGGTTAAGTGGTCTGCAGAAAAAGGTTTTTAATCTATAGTTGACGCCTGTACTTATCCTGTACTCCTGCCTGCAGCTGATGTCACAGAGCTTGTGCCTATAATGACCCCTAACAGCCTTGACGGAGCCTCCAGTCCAGGTTCAAGCCTCTGTTTACACCCTCAAAAACACCCCCATTCATCCTGTTTCCCCAGCTCAGAGCGAAGGACGCCTGGACTGTAATTAAAGACATTCCAGGTTTAACCTTAGCCCTCAGCCCCTCAAGCTTTACCCTAAAATTTCACAATCACTGCAGGGGTTATTTTCAGCGTCCTCACGCCCCTCACGCTCACGTACCGGAGCCTCGGAGGCACCATCGCTCACGCCTTAGAGCGTGCACAGCCTCGGGCAACAGGAGGTGTGAGCGAGCGTGAGCATATGTGTGCTGAAGAGGCTGAGAGGGGCGTCCAGAGTGAATTATGTATTTTGCCAACTGTATGTGTGAACAGATGGTTGAACAGACAGAATGAAGAAGAAGCGAATGTGGGAGTTTGTTGTGTCTGCGCTCTTGTTTGTATCTCGTATCGTGTGCAGGGATAACACGTCTCAAGCCACCATGTTTTCTTTGTTCGAGAAAATCTGCGCTTTACTCATAGTTTGCGTCTGCTCTCTGCATTCACGTTAGCAGCTGACGAGTAATGACTTTAATCACGCCATCAGTGAATCATGTCTGAAATTCAATAACATGTTGCCTCTTAAAAGGAGGATAATTTCTGTTTGTTTTAGGAGATAATTGTTTGGATCTTTAACCTCAGAAAAGCTGCAGAGTATGCAACAGCTGCATGTAAATATACTGAAATACTGCATCAGCAACTGGCACTTCATCAGGAGTCTCTTAGTGGAGAAGAGCTTCAAATACAAACGCATCTAAAAAGATAAAAAAATTTTCCATTAGTATTCAAAGATAGTGAGAATTTAATGAATTCTGGACTCATTACAGGCAAAATTAAATGTTTCAAATGTTAATTTGATAATCCTGGCCTGCAGCTTAGAAAATATTGAAAACATTAAAAAAAATTATTTGAGTTTTGAGTAAATGATTGTCTGTAGGTCTAATTTAGCATGTACAGGTACATTCTTGAATGGACAATCACAGAAGGTCATTGCTGAAAAGACACGAGCAACATTATCAAGAAAAGTAGATTCAGAAACTCAGGAGATGCTGATTTCCTTTTGCACCTGCCCACAGCGCCAAAACTTCAACCGTGTGGTTTGCTGCTTATGGTACTGTGCTAGATGGGATTCATGTCAGCTGACTCACCTGAGGGGTATTTGTCAAATAACCCAAAAATACAGACAAGCTGAGAGACGCTATCAAAGTAAACTGGGCGTCAGTAACACCTGAGCGGTTCAACTGGCTAATTCAAAACCCGTCTGAGGCAGCAATTCATCGTAGAAAAGCCCCAAACAAGTACAATGAAGAAACTTTTCAGAAGTTTAATATTTCTGTATTTTAATTTGTTCTATTTTTTGGTTGAAAAATGAAAGATTGTCCCTAGGGTTAGGGTTAAGGTCCTTACATACAGGGAACGATGCAAATATACAACGCGAAATTACGAATGTTTTGGAGGCAAATTTTGACGCGCCTGACTATACACATCAAGTGTGATGCGATTTTGTGACTTTGCAGAGGGGAAAGAAGACGTGTGATTTGACCGTGATATGAAAAAATAAATGCCACGATATTGCAGGACGGGTAAACGTTGCTGATGTGAACGCTTGTATTGACAGGATACTGGTCAGAAAAAAAATATTGACGTCCAAAATAATCGGACGAAAAAAACCTCCCGGTGTGTAAGGACCTTTAGGGTCAGGGTTATGCCTTTTTAAATGTTGAACTATTCCTTTAAAGACATTACTCACTGACTTGTGAACATCTAATTAATAATGTTTTTGTCTCTCTTTTTTTTTCCTGCTCCTCCAGTTGTGGACCCTTATGGCCAGTCCTCCCAGCCCCCTGCAGCCTCTTCCTCTCCACCCTTACCTGACCAACACTCAGCTCCTCCACTGCGGCGGAGAAAAGAGCGCCCCCAGGTCCTGAACCTCTCCGAGGCAGAAATGGCGGGTGTCCTACGTCCCAAACCAGGACGCCTGGACAGCCCTAGCAACCGCTACGCTGGCGACTGGAGCGGCTGCGGAGAGCGCTACTTCCCCTCTGACATGCTGCTGCCTCCCAGCAAAGAGGAGGCGGACTATGACGACGTGCCCTCCGAGGACACGGAGGCAGCTGAGGAGAGGCCTGAGGACCTCGAGGAAGAGAAGGGGCAGAATTTAGGCGTCCCTGTGTCTGATCCTGCTGAAGAGGAGCAACCTCTGAGACAGGAGGAGCTGGTAAAGGACGAGGAAGAGGAGAAAGAGGAGGAGGACGGACAAGAAGAGAGTGATAGCTCGGGCAATGTGGAGGACAAAGAGGAGGAGAGGGTTTGTGAACACATCCTGCCTCCTCGTCTGCCCAAAGAGCACACGTACCAGGCCTACATGAAGATCCAGGACATCAGCCCCGTGCTGAGCAACAGGGTCAACCTGAGGGACCTGCAGGAGAGTATCGACACTCTGATCGGAAACCTGGAGAGAGAGCTCAACAAGAACAAGCTCAATGTAGGATACTGACTCCACGCTCACACACGAAGTTCGGAGGAGACGTTTTCACTGATCACGGTGCTTCAGGATACAGCCACAGTGTTTCTTCAACGGCGATGTGCTGTCAACACGGCCGCATGTTCAGGTGCTGCTGTGAAATATCTAAAGGACAAGACGAGCAGAAATGTATGGGGGCACTTCTGGCATTAGTACCTAATCCACTGACATTCCATAACAGTTTTGTTTTCTTGTCTTTATGATGGTTTTGTTTCAGTCCAGTTCTGTGTTTCATGTTGTTATTGTTGCTTCTCTTCTTATTAGAAGAACCCATTGACCCCTCAGGGGTTTAAAAGGTGCCTTAATTGTGTGAAGGTGGTACGTAAAGAGGAAAACCCACCCTGAAATAAAATGTCCTCCCTCTCTGAAGAGCATGAACAGAGAAACTCTAGGATGATGTGAGGAGTTGTTGTCAATAAGTAGAACTTGGATAAAGCAGCCAGAATAGCTGTGAAGCAACATAAATTAAACTGTGCCACCAAAAGTTTGCAGGACTTCCAAAGTGTTTTCTTGGAAAGCTCAGATGGCAGAATTTGGTCATTAGATACTTTTGAACCAAGGAAAAAATCTTGGACAGGATTGGTTTCCAACAAAAATACAAATAAGGGTTTTTCTTACACTGATTGAATAATGTTAAAAACTGCATGCAGAGATTATGAGTTTAAAACTGGTGTCCATCAGGAGGAATGTGTTGATTTTGTTTCAGGGTGGATTTCCTTTCTAAGGCAGCGGAGAGCTTTTCTACTTAGGTATGAAACACTAAATGTTGTACAACAATAATGCACTTATGAGGCAGGCAGTAGTGTAGATTGTCATTATAGCTTATGCAGTTAAAAAAAACGGACTGAATTAGGCGGATAAAGGTATAACCCCCTTTTTTAAAGATAAATATAAATGAATTTGTCTTGTAATGAACTTATTTTCCCCAATCTGCAAGATACTTTTCAATTTTTTTTGCCCAATGTGGAAAAAATATCCTTTTTAACTTTTTTACTAAGACACGGATTGAAAAAAGATGGACGCCGCCGTCATGCCAGTGTGATAAAAAGAGAGAAAGCAAAGTGGCAGGTCTAAAATTAAGGCAAATACTAGAAGTGTTAAAAAACTGCAGTTCCTTGAGTGTCCACTTGAGGCTGGTCCCAAAAGTGAGTCGATTCCCATTAACCCTCATATTAAAAAGACCAACTTTACAGCACAATAAGTCACGTTTACAGCCTGGTACTTCATTTTTTGCTGTCTGTAAGAGTCAGCCTCAAGTGGTCCCTCAGAAAACAGTTTTTTACACTTTTGTGTTAATCCGTACTTTAAGCTACGACGAGTTAAGCTAACGTGACACTGGTATGTATCTTTTCATCCACATTGCTTCTGTGTAAATAAGTGAATTATCCCACAATTTCAATATATTTCTTTAAGATAACACCAACCAGTCCCCCTTCTGCTTCACTCGGCTTTCTTTATTCTCATTTTTTCTTTTGTCATAACCGTGAAAAAGTCGCAATGTGAAGCACAATTGTCAGAAAAGCAGTGGGAACTGTTGGCAGAGGGTACGACTTAGCTAGCTGCCTAAATCGACAAAGGACGTTTTCAGCAATCCAGGGATTCAGAATGATCAGTATTTAACCTATATGTATATGTACATAATTATATAAATGTATTCGGAGTATATTATTTTTACAGCTTCTATTTCGATGGCGTATTTAAATACTTCTGATGACCTCCTAGTGTTGACTTGTAGAAATAGTTGCTTTTTCTCCCCTCAAGCTACCTGTACACATGTTAATGTGCTGGACTAATGGTACAACTTTAGCTGTAAAATATAAGATAAAATCGTGCTCTTGCAGAAAAAAAGTGATATTATTTTAATGTATTGTGTATATATTTGACATTGTTTTGTGTCTCTGGTGGACTAAGCTGTGTTCATGATTTTTTGGTGTTTTTTTTTTTTTTTAAAGGTACTGAACGTTGCATGGTCAAAAGCTTTACTGACATAAACAAGGCTCTTTCTCGTCTGCCTTCGTATTTGATATTTATGTGTAAAAAGACTGATTTTGCATTGTTTGTCATCGGTCTGGTCACACTGTTCCCTCATTAGACAGATGACTGCATCCATCAGAGGACTCACAGACAGGTAGAGATCTGGTTTGAGGAGATGCTGCACCTGACAGAGAAATAGCAGATCTGTGTATGTAAAAATATAGACTATTCACCACTGTTACAGCATACAGAGTTAAAATCCTAATTTCAAAACATCACTAATGTTTAAAAAAATTGACTGGCCCTCAAGCGAATGGGAAAGAGTTATACATTCAGTGCTTTGCTTCCTTCCTATCTTGATACTTTCGCAGTATTTCAATGCCAGCCACAGCCCGGCCTCCTCCGCGGCATCTGTTCACAGTCCCGCCGCTTCATGGTGAAGCTGGTGCTGTCAGTCTGAGTGTTTGGTGAAAGTGAGATCCAGCAGGGATCCTTTCAAACCATCTGCCACCAAACATTAAAAAAACACAGGGCCCTAATTCTTCTCCTTAAAAAAATAACACAGACTCTGATTTTCAGCTTTTAAACAGAAGGATTTTAGTCGTCAAACACTTAATGATTCCAATTTAATCAAGATGTTTGAGGACGGTCTTCGGATACACTCTTCAAACCTCTCACCTCTCTGTCGCAGTATTTCCGTCAACACCTGCATCTAACTGTCTTGTCCTCACTAAGCAAAACAGAAAGTGCTTTGTATTGATCCTGAGTAACTGTACGGTCATAATAAAGTATATTATTTTACATTCATGAGTGGACTTTGCTGCTTTTTTGGGCCGGAGACAGCATCATTACTGGGAAATTCAGTTTTGTTATCAAAAAAGGATATTGTTGTAGATGATCGGTGCCTCTTTGAGACCTGCATGAGTAAACTAGACCATATACAACAACATTGATGATTCATTTGTGAGGACTTCTTATATCTTAAAATAGTTCTTCTGAGCAGAGACAGAGATTTGCTTCATGTACCTGCATTTTCCATGGCAAAGGTTGTCAGTAAGTCAAACTTTTGACTGTCAAAGAAAGCAGAATGAGATTTTTCCACGTAGAACCAAAATCAGCACACAATGAAAGTGCCCAGAGGGAGAATTGAGCTCAGAGTTTATAGACTTACACTAATTTAAATCCAATCAAGGGTCTAGTTGAACCTTACCTCACAGTTTGAAGTCAGCTGCCACTTTAAACATCTTAGAGTCACAAGCTTTGAGTTCAACATGAATCACAGATGTTTAACATGTCACGATTGATTGCAAACACCATTTCTATACGAACTGGACTCCCAGATAGTTCCTCAGATACTGACATGATCATGGGCACAGAGCTCTACATATCAGCTCACCCAACATTATGGCACATACTCCGATTGAACCCAAACAGTGACTGGCCCGACCCAACTCAGATTGTGTTGAAACGCAACGAGAACTAAAAGTATCTATCAGAAAACACTTCACACAAACCTGCAGATTTGTGTAAATCCTGAGGAATCCTTCCTGAAATGAATAACAAGAACATCATAAGTCGTAGCTTGATTCTGATTGGTCACAATCCAGGATTTATTTTCAACAGCAACAGTGACACCAGGGGGTGAAGCTGATCACATGTCATAAATAAACCGAGTACAGGCAGCAGTAGCTCAGGAAGGTACCCACTGAGCAATAGACGGCGATTAGACGTGTTTTTTTTTAGACCAAATTTCAACGTCTAGATTCTGTATATTTTTAGATGAAATTTAGATGTCGCACTTCAACCAGCCCAGGACCAGGTGGAGGGATTATATCTCTCGCCTGGCCTGGGAGCACCTGGGAACCCCCACGGAGGAGCTGGTGGAAGTGGCTGGGGTGAGGGCCGTCTGAGCTACTCTCCTGAAGCTGCTGCCCCTGCGACCCCGACCCGGATGAAGTGGAAGAAAACGACGATGAAACGACGACGATGAAACGACGACGATGAAACGACAACAATGAAACGACAACGATGACACGACAACGATCTAACGACGACGATGAAATGACGACGACTCAGGAGCTCTTTTTCAATACTTAGCATTTTAACAAACTCGCCTAATTACAGTCTGAATGTTTCCAGTTTAAAACTCTCAATAATTTTCACTTTTCTTGATGCTTTTCGTTCAGATAAAAATGTCAAAGATAAGCTAACCTTCAGGAAACCAAACTGTGTTTTCGGTTGTGTGGGCTCTTTCTTTGCTTTGAGAGCATTGTAACTCAGCCCTGGCAGAGATCAGATAAATAACATGGGGGGGAATTGCCCTTGTTGGCTTGTGGGAATCTCCCAGAACAACTTCCAGCTTCAGGGACATTCCCAGAAACCAGCTGCATTTAGCCGTCCAGTAAAAATCCTCTGCCGGAAGGCTGCACTTTCACTGCGGCTCCGAAAAACCAACATAACCAGGAGCACTTGTCAGATGTATACAATTACTCTAAACTTGGAACAATGTGCACCACAGGTAAAGCCCAAAAAGCAGACTGCTGAAACAGTTAAGTGTCACTTAAATGTGAAGTATTTTTCCAGAATGAGACGCTGCCCCAGCTGAGGTGATACACATCTCTGGCAGTTAGTATGAGAAAGTCAGAGCAGCCGCAGGCCTGTCAGCACGAAATGGTTTTAAGCCTCATTTGATGTCACGACTGTGCGCTCAGATCATGTTTTTATGGCTGCTTTTCGACAGGTATGAGAAAGCTTTAGGGTACAGAATGTACACATACCTGGCTGAGCCCCGCAGTGATGTTTTATATCCTCGCTGCAGTCAGGAGAAAAAATATCTACCTGCACTAGACCCACATTAAAATTCAGACTGGAATTTTACAGACATGGAGCCAAATATTTCTCTGACAGTTAAAAATATAACTTTGGACAGAGAGAATAATGCCGCGCTCAGTCTCGAGTTATTCTTGATCTTTCATGACAGAGTTTACTCAGCTTGTAAT